ATGTATATATCGCTTGCTTAATGTTCACCTTTGTCTTATCTATTCGTCTAATGCGTCTAACATTTACGGAACTATGGTCGACAACAGACCGTAATGCATATATGTATTAAACTTCGTCGATACCATCTCTCTTCTATAAAAAAAATTGTCGATCCGTGGTAAGAGTGGCCAAAGATAAGCATTGAGTAGAATTATCTTGATTAGCCGGTAATCGCATAGTCCGATATGTCTCAGGGAATTCATCAGCATGCATCGGACTACCATAGCCATGTAAAACTTTCTTCATTACTGAAGCACTTACGTAAGATCTTTGTCCATCTGACGGGTTTGATTACTTGTCTTGTAAGCGCTAAAGATGTATTGGTTTTGACGGCTCTTGACGGCAGCTCCGTACCTAGATAAAGACAAGGGCCTGAAGAGAGGAAACTCGGTGCGTTGCGTTCCATTGGTCCGCCTTAAATATCGTGGATAATTTACATCAAACTATTAGTATTATCGCTGCTTATGACACCACCGGTGACGTGTAGCTACTGCAGATTGAAGACTTAGCCACCTCAATGGACAAAATACTTATGCATGAACTAGTTGTTATTTTAAGCAGGCCACATACGACATTGGATTTTCGTCTATTTCTTGCATCTACATGCATAACAATAGAGATCTCCCAAGGAATGACTTTTCTATCGAACAGCTTCCCTACTCCAGTTAGTGGGCCTTCTCTAATAGGTAAATACCCCCTTATCTATATGGATCCATGCCAGTTGCCTCACAGGTATATTATTACAGACAAGAGAACGCTGCCATCCTCGCTGGGTTTCTTCAGGATCGGAAACCCATTTGTCCACTTGAGTTATTTGGAGTGAGCCGCGGCCGCTTTTATCGTCATCGATACAAGCATACAGTATAGCTTCTTACAGGGTCCTTACCAGCTGTTTGATCACCACTCAGCTTTGTGAACCGGCGAACATTATCAGACTGACGTTCACAGAGCAATGCACGTTGCCTGTAACGTTTGCGAAGAGCAGACCGTTTTTAGCATACACTGCTATCGAAGTTGGTCGTGCTTCTCTGCAGTGCTAACTAAACAACCGCGGTGATTTTTTGTGCAACGGCGTGCAAAAGATTAGAAAAAAATGCGGATTTGAGATCGCAGTTTACAAAAAAATCTCTGGGAGACCTCCAAGCGTCGGCTATAAGGGTTGTTTAAGGTGTATTGTGATCTGTGTTCGAAAGTAAAACGGTTTGTGAAGTATTTTTCCTTCAGATTTTTTGAACCGATTTTGCAGCAGCATCATATGCGCTGAGAAATCATTATACAACATACAGGGCGTGCAATAATTATTTGAAACTGATATGAATTGCGAACACCTCGAGGCAAAAAGATCGACAGTGCGTGCATCATCGTGCAGCATCGGTCTTCAAAGGCAAATGACGTTCAAAATCGAATATATTCAACCCGTAGGAAAAACAACAAAATAACAGCGCGGACAATTTAAACAAGCTAAACTGACATTCCACTGATTGCCATCCGTGAAACTTAAGTACTGCGGTATATATATATATATATATGTAGTGCGGTACCTCATTAAGACGTTCTCATTTATTCGTTAGCTGCGTTTTAGTGTTAAATCTAATTTAGATGACAACGTTCAGTAATAGGCTCATAGAAAAATGCCAAATACAGTACCCGTAACAGCACCTTCCAAGGACCATCTGAGGGCAGTTAAGTCAATGAGCCTTGAAACAACTACAACCGATAAGGTCACTGACTAGAAAAATTGTAAACTGTACATATCAATTACACATATAAAGATATAGGTGTATAGGTTAATATCTGCGTTTCCCATATAAGCACTATTCTCTTTGTAATATGATTACACAAAAATAAGTTGTAATATCATTTATTACTACTGATTTCAGATATGTTAACTGTTGTGGAAAATTATCGAGCCATGTTTGTTTCTCGTACACGCACGTTCTTCGAGTGGCTTCTTAAGGCCTGTTTACATCCGGCCTCGGTCTGTTCACTGCGAGATATCCAAGAATGGCTTTTCGTTTGGAAGTGCTACTTTACAAATCGTACGTCCATTAAAAGTGTTTGCTATGTAATTGGTCTTTTTGGAAATCTCTCATACCTCTCATAATCTACATACTGTCCTGCAGAAAAAGAACGTATTATACATTTTGCAGAACCAACTAGCCTTGTCTAAAAGCGAATTGAATTTTTTATGTAGATATTTTTTTCCATTTCCGACACGGACATTTCCTACCTTGTTTATATCCTTCTGTATCCAATGTGACCGTACAATTTCAGTGCTTTCATTTAACACAGCGGAGAAAAATGAAAAACTACTCGAGTGGGTTCGTTTGCGGGTCGGCCCCAAGTTGCAAGCGTCCGATTTCGGAGCCTCGTGGAGATCGGGAATTCTTCTTTGTGCGCTCGTCGAATCCATCGCGCCCGGCTCCTGTCCGCGTTACGACCTCCTTAACGAGGACAACCGTTTCGGCAATGCCCAGCTGGCAGTACAGCTTATCGAAAAAATCAACCTTCGGCCGGTAAGTGGGTCGCGATGGAGAGCGGCGCGTCTAGACCCAGTGGAGCAGGAGGGGCACAACACGCGTTGACCATGACATAACACAACGGGTCACGGCTATAACTTACCTATGCAGCTAGCAATATACGTAGCGTGTACATTCACTGTTGTGTTATAGAGCACTAAGGGTAGAGTTTCCACAATTAGTTTCCTTAATAATCTGATATAGCAATCGTAATCAGAATCTGTTAGAAAAAAATGGTAGAAAGCTCTGGTTGGAGCTGGAAGATGTTTGCTCTGTATTTCATCTAAAGCAGTCAAAGATGAGCTCGTGCGGCGGGCAGCAGGCTTTGAACCATTCTTGGTAATAGTTTGTGCGATTTCACATAATAAGTTTGTTAAGTAACTGTTCGTCTTCGCGCTTCTAAACATAGCGACCTTGGATCATACCTTTTTTTTTTACTTCGATCGAAATGGTATGGCTTACCCGGTAGCTTCTTGCTATTTTGCTGGATAGGTAATTTTATGCTGAAGCGAACGGCAGGAATAGTGCAGTTGCGAAATGTACTTCTTATCTTCAATCGTCTAAAACAAGGCTCAACTGTTAATATCACAACTACTAATCGTTAATTTATGATCCACTCAATTTGTGATAAACGTTTATACTGCGCAACACTAGACAAGGATTATATTTGACACTTTATAATGCACGGCAGAAAATTTGACCTCTAGCGATTTCGTACTTCTTTAATATTACCATATCTCATACAACACTAGCCCGCATTCGCCAGTTAAATGCTGTTTGATAACACAATGTCTATTACTCTGTTCACCGCCAATATGTACACTATATGTACACATTTATATAAATGTATACATATAGCTAAGAAATGCGATCACGACACGATTTCTGATCTTGCTAATGACCAATCTGTAGTCACCATCTGCTACTATCGTTCGCTGTGACGACATCATGATCAGGTCATTGGGATTTCGGTAAAGATCTGGCCCCGAATTAGCGAATCAACAGCGGCCATAACGAGCCATCAGCAATGTCGCGATATCGGATTAACAACGTCGCGACAAGTTCTGTTTCACTATAAAGGCAAGGCACCAATGGCCTTGTCAAATGCTGTTGGATCTGACCAACATCTCTAGCTGTTAAATTTGACGACGATAGAGTTGTTGCCTTGAGCCAGCCAATAGGACAGGCAGTATAAAGAGTCCTCTGTTATGGCATCCTATCATATCATTCAATGGCTAACGCGATCGAGTCTAGTTAGACAAATATTAATAATAAGCATTACATAATATCGTTCGGTCGGCATTCTCTATTCGAAGTTAGCGATGCGTTTTCATTAGAATCTCTCAAAGAAAACTCTATTTGGCCGCGGCTTTCATTTGGAGTGCTGTACCTCGGAACCACTTGAACTTAACAAATCTGATCCGAATGGGGTGCAGTCAGATCTGTGTTCTATCTGGGAAAACTTGCACTAGATAATTGCTAATTAGCAGAAACGTTTCGAATGTCCCAGTGCCATGTTCAGTATCGCTACTACAACAAGCCCATCACGCTAATCGTTACATGACAACTTAATCACACAACCAAGCAGTTAATAAAAGTGGCCTCCTGTTTGTCGTGGTGGGGTCTCAATAAATGTGTCATTTCTTTTGCAGTGTCTAACAGCTCAGGAGCTGTCGAACGACAATGCAGATATCGAGAAGCCTTTAAAGGCACTTCTGGCTCAATTTCGAATGGCCGCCGCTAAAAGAAAACTTCGAAGCGCCGTGAAAAGTCCAGGAGATGAGAAGTTTCTTGGTGGGCAAGGTGGCGAACTTTTTGCTAAAGGTAGACAGCAAAGAAGGATGAACAGTTATGGCAAACACGAAATATCTATAAACTCATGCACAATAGATGAGATTTGCACGGTTAGCAGGCCAATGATGTTTTGCAAATGGATAAACCGGTAAAATGAGGCCGTTAGAGATATACAAGGTGATTGATGTATAATGTGACATATATGCTAAACGAAGAGGTCTCACTAACAAAACCTTACGATTTGCTAAAAAAATTTTGCCAATGTCTTTTAACATATTTCCTTCGCAGGCATGGGCCTGATTTTTGCTGTTAAAGGACGAAAGGCTTCGTTCAACATCTTCCGTAGAGGACAGGGCGCCTTTTCGTTCGTAATTGAGATACAGGGTCCAGAGGGAACGTTGGGGTCAGCGCTAATTACGCACAAATCTGTAGCGCGGAATCCCGGCTCCCTTACGCCGGCAACCCCAACCAACTCGAGCCCTTCCGGATTAAAGCGACAGCTCAGCACAGAATCGAAGACGATCGTTATCGACTATGTGATCACAAACGAGAAAATTTCGGTAACTTACACGCCTGTGACCAGCGGCAAACACACGCTCAATATCGTCGCACAGGGTCAGCACATTTTGAGAAGCCCGTATGATATTTCGGTCGACTGCAATACGGCCGAAGTAACCGCTAAGGTCGTCGAAACCCTGTTTCGTCCGAAAATCAGCGCCCTGCAGCGACTTGGCCGGCGGTTCAGTGGAACCAATCTGATGGCATCGCAAAAGGCTTCCGAAAGCAGCGTTGGTATTCCCTTTCCTCACGCAGAAGTCACCGGAAAAGTAGTAGCAAAAAGAGTAATCAAAAGGTGAGAGTAAACTAAAACTGTGCTTATTAGTAGATTAGTAAATGATGTTCGTAAACGGCAGTATATATATATATGATTACTGAAAAATCTCCTGTTATGTAAATGTTCAACAGCTTATCATGTTGTTGGCGTCAGTACAAACATTGCCAAATGTTTCGCTTCGATAAAAGTGCATAAGCGATACATATTAATGTATCGCTAATTCTCGGTGAATTTAGGATGAGTTATTAATCAAACGCCCCTTTCTCTCGTTGGTCTTCTGCGCTTCTTCATTGTAGGACAATACTTGGTTCTAACATTGTAATCCATGGGGACAACGAGCAGGAACTCGTCCGTGCCCTTAAGGACATTTCAAATCTGAACCCGAAAAACCGTGAAAGACTGCAGCAGCGTCGGCCCATGGCTCCTTTGCCATTCGTCCTTCGGCCCGTCGGGGAGCTACGTAATCCGCACACTAACAAAGTACGTACCGGACTCGATCGTAGCATCTCCGAGTGGTCAGAACACTCTTCGGCCGACGACAGCTTACCAGCAGTCGCCCACACGTCGCCCATTTTCATAATGCCACCGCGGTCAGGAGATGTCGCGGCCCACGAGGCAGCACTCGACAGAATCCAGGTGAATCAGCGTCTTATCAGCGACGAGAATAGTGCTGACGTTAAGGCCCGCAGAAATCGGATCATAAACAGATTTGACGGAAGATCTGGTAGTAACGGCAACAGCATCAGCTTGAGTCATACGAAGGCAGTGATTCCGTCGCTTGGATCGTTGGCACAGACGCAGAAAACGTCGGCTAGCATCTTCAGCGAAGATGAGGCAAATAGCGAGCGATGGTTAAAACGAATCGAAGGAATTGACGCAGTCGGTGCTGTCCGGCAAAAGAAAGGCTACGTGAATAACAATGCGAAGATGGATGTTGTACATGACCACGGGTTCCTTATTCGAAAAAAAAATATTACGCTGGATATTGTTAGTGAGAGCCGATACGTTTCAGACAAGGTATGAACAATAGACAGGTGATTCTATTAATTTACTGATGGAACGTTTTTTGCACTTACCAGCGATGGACATTTTGATGGTCACACTTAATCTATATATACGCTTTTTAATGCGATGCTGATATGGTGGTTAAGGTCGATTTGACGTCTGTCATACGTCCGCGTAAAGTAATTGGACTAAATAGGAATAAGAGAAATATGACTAGGATGTACAAAACGTTTGACTTTCAAAGTGGTTAATATCATATGCGACCATGTGGTCATCGGCTTACGTGTATATATATGGATTTGAAATTTACAGAAAGGTGCCGATCGTGACAGTTCGAAGTTAGGAATGGGAGATTCCACTGTCGAAAAGATGGATTCCGTGGCGACAATGCAGGCAGTCATGACGACGGCTGTGCCCTTATCGAACTCAACTAGTAACAAAACGGGCAGTTGTCTGGCCCAAGAGAGCACCGAGTCGTTGAATGAACGATGTCGCGAGGCTGAGAGACGTGTGCTCTGTCAAGCGGATTGGAGAAATATGCGATTGAAAAGCGAGTGGCACTCCACTCCCGAGACAGTCCTCGTTAGGACATCTGATGAATCGAAGTCTAAATCAATCGACCAAAAGCAACGACAGGACGGCCCATTTGACGAGCAACGCGAAGTGGATCAGGACTCGCGAAGTGAACTCACAGATTCGCGTGAAGTACACGTTGGTTCTGAGAGCGATGAAATCGAAGACCGGATGAACGAAATCGATGGAGAGGTTCGACAAATGGCTGTCAGCTCCATGCTAAACAAAGTATGCATTCTCCTTTATCATGCGTTTTAATTCACTATGTCAAAGTGTTTGACACAAACATAATAAAGTGAGAAGATAACTGATAATCCTTGTTGGATATGTACTATAAAATCGGTTCTTACACGTTCGTATATTTATTACAGAATTAGCATGCGATCAAACGTAATTTCTATGTCAATTGAAGGACACATACTAGCCAAGGTACGCCTATTTCTAAGCGATATACAATGGAAACATTTTATTTGGCCTTCACGCTCGGCTCTGATCTTTTGCCTCAATCAATTGTGTTCCAGTTCACACACTTCTCACCGGCGGCTTCGCCAGATAATTCGACCTCAGGTTCGTCCTCGAATTGCAGCGATTTGGCCTCGCCTGTTCGAAGTAGCCCATCCATGTTTGGTATGCCACCGACTAAAAGTTACCACCATCTGCACGGCTACTGATCGACGTGGAATAAAGTCGCTAAAACGATCACTTCAGCAATGTTGTGAGGCAAATTACGGCAGCTGTACGATATGCGGAATAGTTACATCGTCAAATATTCCAAAAAAACTAAATACCAAAGTGCCTACCTCACTCAGTATCCATTACCCTTTGCATTTGTCGATTCCACTAAACCATTTGTAAACTCATCGCTCAGCCTATAACATCTCACCTGCTTGTAAAAGTCGTGTTTTATTGCTGAGGTAAGCGCGGTTTTTGCTTTGCCCCCCATTTTCGTTTTGTCTAATTATAATCGATCTGCTGAGCTGCATAACTTGTTATATTTGATGATTGTTTGTTATGGTTTTCGTACAATCGAATACCTGCTGCAACGTTTCCATTTCGTAAATATATCCTATTTATTTTTCCACATGTGTAAATATGCCATATAGTTAATCACATTATTATGGGATGGTTCTATCGTTTTCTAGCAACAGCTTCGACTGAATACGGTGAATGTTCTATCAGCTGTAAAATCAGTTTTCCCAATAGCCGTTCCATGCGTTCGTGGCGCCTGTTTTGTCTTGTACGGGATAGTTTTATTATGAGCACAGCGTGTTTCGCGTACTCTAGCATGTGTGGATTTCCTTATTCGACCCATGCCCCTAATTAATGCCTTATATTTGTTACCATCTTCAGGATCCCCTCAGTCCACGAATGTGCCACCCTCTAGTCATCATCCAACATTTGTGCTTCACAGCCAAAGCAGCATCACGTCGGGCAGCGGCACGCCTTCTGAGCTCGAAGACGCGTCCTTTATCGTCGAAGATCTCGAAGACCAGAAACTTCTTCAAGATACCTTTACCATTACCTGCCCTGCCGCCCTTGCGCTTTTTCACACCTTTGTCGCCTAATAACAATAGGATAATAATAATAATAATAATAATAATAATGAAAATTATTATACGAGCAAAAGTAATGAATATGGCTATACCGTCTTAGATGGGCCTGATTTACGCGAAAACCAAGTGCCCAGTTGCCGGTCACGGACGATGGTGCAATTCGACACAGTATTTACCAATGACGAGCTCCCCGATTTGTCATCAGTTGACAGCGACATTGTGACGGGTTCAACAGCGTCACTGCGTACACGAGCTTGTATGTAAAACTTGCTCCAATTGAAATTTCCTTTGGAGACCCTCATATCAAAAGCGTCTATGCCTTTCTATGGGATGTCTACGGCGAAGACATTTTTAGGCGCAGACGCTATCCCAACTAGTTCAGCATCGAGTGGGTTAATTTCCCGTACGGGAAAGTCTCAAACTCGGTCACGATTTAACGATGATGAAATGCGGGTGTCACCGCATCGGTGTATTGCCACTGGTAATGCACTATATTGTGGTCACACTCGGCGGGCCCTGTTTTCTAGGTGCGGACCCTCCACGCTGGGGAGGGTTTCCTTTCTGTTACCATTCAGGGCCCGCGTAGAGAGGCGGCGCTTAAGACCCGCGTGATCTTAATCGATCGAGGCCTGTTGCGGGTTCACTTCAAGGTGCGACTCGCAGGCTATTACGTCATCGTGGTAAAATGGGCTGCCAGGCAGGTGCCGGGAAGCCTGCTTTACCGTAGAATTGCCGATCAATAGGTCGTATTATAATACATTGCATCAAAAAACAGGGCACAAGAGGATGGAAGGGCTCCGACCTGATGCCAAGTGTTAAAGCTTTCAAAAATACATGCCTACACACAACCAGGGCGATACACAATAGTCAGATACTGACGTACCATTCTCAAGGATAATACAAAAAAATACATACAAACAGGTGTCTACATTTTTATTCGATTATCTAGGATATTTTGAATAATAATAACTATTGTGGTCAAAAGAAATGGCCAATAGAAGGGTGAGTAGCGTTCTCTTCTGGCTAAGTATGATTGTTGCCCCCTTGTAAAATTGTCATGCAATATAAAGGAAATAGCCGAGTTGACGTGACATTACACCCCTGTGTCTGCGGGGGTCTAAGGGTTAGACGATGGCGTAAAAAAAATGACTCATACTTGACATGTATGTACGTGCAAAGAAAACAAATAGTTGGTGCAAACTGAATAATAAATGTTCTTATTCAGCTTGAATATCATCATTTAGTTATTATCATTACTTATCGATACACCTAGTATTTCTGTGACATCGGCAACGTAAATACGTATAAGCGTGTCGGCAAATTTAGTTTGATTCACCCGTTCCTACGTACAGTAAGCCCGGGGCAACCAAAAGCAGAATATGCAGCTAACGTTTGACTCTGTACAGAGGTACAGAGCGAACTTCGTGCTATAACGAATGAAACAATGGTCACACGAATATTTCAGAAATGATTCACAGCCTGTATCTGTCCTGTGTGATACGCGTTGTCTGCGTCCATACTAATTTATTCATAACATCGGAATGTAAACAATATTCAGCCTGATCTTAGGACATCACTTACCTAGAGCCCTGTACAAAAAGTTACAAACTGCGTAATGCATAGCTAGAAGGAGCTGCCCAACTTAATTTGTCATATGCTTAGTGTTAGAAGAACTTCTAACTTCGTACGTGTTCATGCCGATATTAGAGCCGCAATATTTTCACGCATCGCATTTTTAATTTAATACAGGCTATCCAGATTGGCAAATACGGAATCAACAGTGGTGCAGCTTAGACTGAACATTGTGTTTATTAACAACTATTTTATATAAATGAGGTGTCAATTTGTTGTCTAAACATTTACCTTGCAAAATATTCGAAAAATGAGAAAGAAAAAAAAAAGAGGATGACTCTGCATACATAGAAATATCTATAAATAGTTGCGAGGTATATTAAGACGATCTATAGAGAATATCATTTATATAATAGTATGATAAACTGTACTTTTTGAAGATACGCGCAATGTTACCTTTACCTAGCATGTCTAACCTGTTTAGTTAGTAACACGAATACAAATGTATTAATAACGACAGCATTTTTTCATGACGAAAATGTGATTGTTTAAGTCTGTGATTTTTTTATTGAATAAATGTACATTTTTGAAGGGGTAAAAGCTTTGTGGACAATTTTTTCGCGTTTGTGGGAAAAAAACAATAAAAGAAAAATATTTTATAAAACGCTCTATAATGAGGCAAAATAACAAACCGACATAACTAACATTGATTCCGCTATCGAAACTCCAAGTTGAAGTTGCCGTTCAATTAAGTGTAAATGTATTTATGTACGCTTCAGCGTATAAACATATAAACACGTTGTGTTGTATTTATATGTAAATATACAGATTTAGGTATGGGATACAGGCGTTGAAGAACAGCGCTAAAAAATCAACTAAACTAGAAACAAAAAGAGAATCAGTGATATCTCTATGCAATACGCATAAATAAAGCCCATATACATATGTATGCATATAACCAGAGATAAGTGTGAGTTTTCTTAAATAGAATACTCGGGACGCGTATACAAATCGACTATGCAGGTGTGTCCGAACAGATAACACGACAAATCGCAAAAAATTATGGGTAAATAAGAGGTAGCTCAAGTTTAAATTTTTGTGTTTATTTTGATCTTCAATAAAATATCGTTTAAAATACTGGGTGTTTTACCTGAAAATTTTGCATCACAAGGGACGGGCTCAGCAACGGTAACCTATTATAGCAGGTTTTATCCTGAACATTTGACAATGCCCTTAAGACGAGCCTCTTACTTTATGTGTGCGTTCTATGTGAAATTAACAGCACTAATTATATTGCAATACAACGTTTAAAGTCCATTAGATAGTATTCCCATGGAGGACGTACTACGCGTTGAAAACGACGATGCAGACCTGTGCTGCCAACATAAACTCAGTAAATTAACAAGGTATCCCGTCAACTGACTCCTTTAAAAACTTTGTCGCGCGTATTTATTTTTGACTACTCCATCTTCAGAATTTTAATTATTGCTTCATTTCATAATATTTATGCATCTTCAATAATTATCTCTTCTAAGGATTAGTGAAGATCGGTTAAAAGGCAAACATCAAAATGTAACCCTAATTTATTATATAGTTTACCGTCGTTCACCTCAAATTTAAGCATAGTGATTTCGAAAAGACCATGCGTTATAAATATCAACGCTTAAGCTTGGTATAAATCATGAAAAGTGTGCTGACCATTGCACAGGAAGGCCGGTACTTGATATATAAAACGCCGATGAATGTAATTTGACGTTTCTCCAAATGTAAGTAGTATCTCTATAACCTGTATATGCCAGTATGTATTTTTTTTTACATATAAAAGGTGTTCCTTGGGCTACCCTCAATCTGGACTACCTCTCGACTTTCTCGCCTTGGCGTCGTTTAGACAATGCTAAACACAAAAGCCAATAGTTCTTCTTCCGCAAGGGATATTCGCTTAATCGACTGATGAATGGAGACGGACAAACTGTTACGAACAACAAGGACGTATGAAAAGTTGCGCGGTTATAAGGCCGCGTACGAGCACGTTATGACTTCCCGTAGTGTTGTCTCTAGAGAAGCTGTTAACAAGCCATGGATTCGCTGTTGAAGTGTCTGACTATGGCTATTATAAATAGCTAATGCAAATGCCACCATAGGCGATCATACGCATATATATACATATAAGCTCTAGGGTGAATTAATCTACGCTTTTCAATTTAACATCATTGATTTTTAACGGAATCTTTGCTTCTGCCATACTACATCAATATTCACAGAAGAATTTCTATCATAATTGTCCATTAATAAGGTTGTACTAAGTAATATATATATATATGTGTATATATATATACAGTTAATGAGATAGACGTTCTTCGCCGAGACGCAGTGCGCAAATGGTGGCCATTAAAATAAAAGGTGCGCCCCTTTTTTAAGCGGACTATGTAATACTAGGGTATATTCATGGATAAGGGGAGAAAGACTTCGATAGCAAGCGTGAGACCTGGCTTCCCTGTCAAATCCTTGTCGAAGGCATCATTCGCTCCGTGGCTAAGAATTCTGAATTCGAAAATTATGATACTCTGGAAAAGAGTCCTACTTACCATGAGTTTAACTTAACTCAGAATACATGACAATAACTTATGTGTAACATAACTGAACTCTTCAAGAAGACCATGCGATGGTTGAGTGAAGGCAGGCGTCGTATACGTAATACCAAAGCAAGATACACTGTTTGCAAATTCTAGGATCAGTAGATCCGCAGCAGACGTCATATCATAAATCAACTTCCGTTTCAAAACGTAAGTTATATGAAAATGCAGTACGGTTTTCCCGATACATCTATAGCACATTAGTTCTTCGTTTGTAATCCACTTAAGCGTACAGGCTCTGCCGTACACTGTACAGCTCACATCGGATTGACCCTCATGAGAGCTTGGTCGACTTCACACTATCTTTGCTAACAGAAATCCAGAATTTTTAGTCACATTCAGAACTGTTTGGAAGATCCACGTATGCCTATTGGAAACATTACTTACTGTGTAGATGCTAATTGATCAAGCAAAGTAAAAAAAAATCTGTATATGCATCATCTGCCCGCATCGACTTCGGGTTTCGTTTGGTAGGCAGATGAAAACCTCTCAGTTGACAGACTGTTTAGAATGGCTTCTTAAGGCAAACTTCAGAGAGCAAGTTAAAAGCGAAATCACTTCCATGATGGAAAAAGATGTCGTGACGAATCTGCTCTGTCGCCTTGCAGCACATTTGGGATGAATCCAGAATAGTAGGTGCTTCTTCAATCAAGGTTATTTCTTATGGATGTACAGTATTTGCTCTAAAACTTTTCTAAATTAAGATGTTTAGCTGATTTTCCAATACGTCTTCGGTGATGACTGCACGAGAATGATTAGAAAAATGGGCGTGGTGTCGTAAAGTATGACGAAGAAGAACGAACGATTTCTCCGAAATTGTACCATGCTGTAAAAACCAACGATGCGAGGACGTTACCATCGACTGCTATTGATTCGACCTCTTTGAACACAAGTCTCATATAAGCTTAATATCTAAGCGAGCGAGTTTTATTTAAGTAGCAATTTTTATCAAATAAATGCGGTAGAACATTTAAACATTTATTCCGTTGATGATAAATTTGCAAATAAGGACGTTTGAAATTACAAAAGAACACCCTTTAAGCAATCTGATTTTACAGATAGATACGATTAAAAAACGTTTAGTAGCGTGTCAAGCAACCAGGTTGGCTATAAAACAGAAGTCTATCTAATGCTAATATTACGTTGTTGGCCAAAAACCCTCGACAAGTGCGGATGCCTTCCGTCGAAGGTTCCACGTTCAACTCACTTCCCACTTCCAACGTTTGCCTCATTCCGCCCCTTTTCCCATTGTAAGCGCGTGTGATTACAGGAATTAGAACGTTCTAAAAAGTACAACTGCAAGCATATTCTACTATGATAAATAGAAAATTTGTAAACAGGAACACGAATGTCTACGAGAGCGCTGGAACACGTATGGATAAAACAGAAGCTGCACGCTTTATTTCCGGTACATCCAAAAGTCATTTCTCTAAACCTTAAATCAAGAAGTTTTTACTAAATTTTTGCCGGATAGTAGTACTTTGTCATTTCTCTTTATAAAAAATTTAAAAAGGAACCACAATTTCATCGTACAATGTCTGTCAACGGAACAATCTTCACTCTGTAGTTTATATCTCCATAAACAAACGATACTAGAATTCGGGTCTTAAACAGGTTCCTTCCAGCCATTATCACGACTGTCCGGACACGACTTTCATACTAAGGAACAGTCACGGTTAAATGCGTTCGTCCGTGGCAATAAATCCACCTTCCAATTCAACTTCCAACGTCAATGTATTACGATACGTGCAGTAGTTTGCACCAGTTCGTGACACCAATGACGGCCGTCTAAGTCTAAGTTTCAGCCTACATGGTTAGAGCTGATTCAAAGCAGAACAAGCGCCCATAATCGGTGTCGCCCAACTGTTCATTAGCGTCCATTGTCATTTTACGAACCGTGCTTGTCAGCATACGTACGTTCAATGAAAATAACCTTTTCGAATCGAAACAGTTACGCTACCGTAAAAAACGCGACGCGTAAACACGTCCTGTGCGCCATTTACTCATACATTAAGAGCCTAAAATGGCTCACCGCAGTGTCTTATACACATTTAAGGTCTGATCTTGTTTCAGAACAGTTGCTAATGTTTCCGATCTGCTCGTGCATTAACGGTTGCCCGTTTGAACATACGAAGAATAGCATAAAAACATAGGCTGCCAATAACAGGTTGTCTGTCCTATTGTTTTCCACGCACAATTGACTTTGTGCGCAATTTCAATTCCATTGATTTGCATAACACAGATACTATAGATGGTTGTAGTGAAGTTGCATTTGCTTACCTCACACTGGAGGCCTCAGGCGTGTGCAATATATCAATCAGAGTCGTACCAACGTATATGCATATGGCGTTTGCGTGTTCGCTGGACAAGCTAAACGTACTTCACCAATGTCGAAAACTGCTGAACGATCATACATTTTTGCGGTATTTTAGTTGTCCTTATCGATTCAACATTTATGTTAAAATCGAAACGTTACATACGTTATACCTTCATCGTAACGGTGCTCTACTACTTAGTAATCACACTAGCAATTTCACTGACTTCATATTCCTGTATACTTGCTAGTATTATTAACAATTATGTTAGAAAGGATCAAAGAGTTTCGGTTATCGCCCAACTTTATTCAACCGTTATAACCGAACCGAAGGAACATTTATGTACAGCTTTCTATGGCGTTAATAGAACCCTGTCTGTTTGCAGAAATAAGAAGTTTTTCGGAACTTAATTGTCGGATTTGAATTGAATCGCGGTTGTTGCCATCGTTGGATTGTACACCTTGTCGACAACGATAGCCAAAATTGTACCTTGTGCGATGAGGACGAACAGCAAACCTAAGATTGACATTGACAGCGATCTAAAAATCAAAAGAAATATGATTTTACACAGAAGTTTATAAGCCTAGGGCTAGAGACGTAGCAAGGCCGCACGACTCCCGGTAGTTCTGTTACAAGCAAAACTACGAAATCACTTCCAGTGCAACCGTTGCGTGCCACCGGTTGGTGGCTGAACAACAGAGATAACATAAGTAAAGAGAACAGAAAGGAAAAAATTGAAGGTATGCCCAATTGTCCCCTGTGCTACGTGACAGTAGCAGTCGCCAACCTGATACGTCGCTCAGCCCAGTCACAATGATGTTCATCATCCTGGATTCGCAGTACCCCCTTCAATTCGTTGCCACGAAGAACCGGTTTCGCGTCACCTGCGCCCGCAGCACTCTGCGCTGTTGGAGGTCCCTCCCAAGCCTCGTCGTGGACAACCTCCACCGTCCTCTGTAATCCGGCATTTCCAGGCGATCCATCACCTCCACGAAGAAATTGTGGGGTCGGTCGCGCCATATCAGGAGACGGTGGCGGTACGTTTGGCGGAGACTGAGATCCCGCAGAAGCACAAGGGCTGGGAACGCGTTTCCCGGAAGCGAGCGGTAGAAAACTCATCTTTTTGTGCTTCGGGCACCAGCTGGATACGATTACCGTAGCTAGCGATGTCGTTATTATCAGTAAGTCAATAGTTTCTGACTAAAACAAACTGCAGCCATATGATAAAAACTGTTTTATAGAGCAATATTGTGTTATTACAGGTGGTGTTTTTTGCTATAAATTTCACTCTTGGTATCATTTTCCGTAGAGCACGAACGGCGGCATCGTTGGCATTTCCGAGACGCAAAAAAACTCGCTTTTGCAAATGGCTTATAGGGATGAAAGGCTCTTCTTGCCATTGATCTATACGTACTCAGTACTTTTTGGCGAGTTAGCAGAATATCGATGTGATTTAGCGTTTAGCTCCGTAGCTTCCCCATTTTTACGCTCAAGTTTCTAAGGGCTTGCTAAGCAAGGTTATTGATCAACTGGCAAGCATTACCTTACGTTGATCTATAAACCTTATTCCTTGACTTGGTTCGACTTATTTCAACGGTTGTTGAATTAACACGATTTCTTCAGGAACAGGTGTCTATGGAGGAAAACTAAGATAGAATTAAGTCTCCCCATGTAGCCAAAGCTCGCGAGGGCGATTTTACCCAAGTGATGTGGCGTATACTCAATTGTCATTTACAAGGATGAACTCTGTGGTCATCTTGCAAAAAATTTGGGCTAATGCAGTAAACGGTATCAAATCGGTCTATTCGCTAACAACAACGTAGCGTTATGGGAGCGACACCTGTTAAAGATGCGAAAAAACAAAATAAACGTCGCAAGCTTCCCAAAAGAGGACGGGGAAGAAGTAAAAAAATTAAAATACGTCAAATTCCGATAACGGATGCGGAATCTAAGAGTCATCAAGCAGAAAAAAAAGATGAGGTACCATCTTCACCACAAGTGACCGGAGAGGCCCCACCTGCTGAGCCTGAAAAACAGGAACTGCAGGAAAAGTCAGAAAAGCAGGCAACAACTGAAAGAACTTCGAACTCGGCAAAAGCTGAGACAAGCGAAAAGCATTTGTTTGTTGAGGAAGGGCCTGTACGTTTGGGGAATTCGCCCCTTTGCGCCACACATACCAGAGAGTATTTGATTTTCGTTGATGATTTAGAGAGGAAAGAAAGACAGCATTATGAAGATGTCAGGAAGTGAGTTTCAGAGCAGATCCTTAAGACTTAACTCTTTGGAGGGACGTGTGCAGTTGCAAGAAACAAAACATTTATGAAATGTTTTGTTTCTTAGAGTATTTATAGATTCAGGTGTTTTTAAGTAAGTCGATCACGAGGCTCGGCAAATTTCTAGTCCACGGAGCCTTTTTTACAAACACAATAACATCATAATACCTGGGTAATGAAAAACAGTTGATAAAAGCTAATCAAACAGTCAGCAACAGTGCACTGAGTTATTAGTAGAATTATATATATATATATATATATGGTAGTTTCTTGCCACAACTGTTTGGAGAAATGGAATTACTACTGGGCAGGTCGTTTCCCCTTGAAACGACGTTTCGTGACCAGAAGGCATCATATCCCTCTAGCCATCTGAATAAGAAAACATTTTTACCCTCCGACTGAAAAAAACGTAGCTTAGTGTGACTGCTGCTGCGTGAGTAGGCTGTCGTATAATGCACGTCAAAGAATAATTTACCCATGCTGACGTTTCAATTTGTCTAGCTAAATTATCTAAATGGTTATCATCACGATATGTGCAAAGCATATCTGGATTTCTATGCGACATTTTATATTGATTCGTTCAAAATGATATTAGGACCTGCAAGTAACCCAAGATGTTGATTTTGAATTGCTTTTTGGGGCAGGTACGCAGAGCAGTTTCTGCAGCTGGTGGCTTGCCTCCATTGTATGACGATCCTTCTCACGACCCTTATGCTGTACGTTTTTGCACAGTATATAATCGATCGATTAAAGCGCAGCTGAAGGAATACGCAAATCCATTGCGCTTTTTCCATGATTTTACAGGAAGCTCTTGCAAAAGACTTCCGTGCAGGGAGAAACTATATGCAGATTTAGTATCAATGAAGATCAAGCGCCGGGATGTGCAGATGTATTTCCTTTCGAACGTATTTCTGTTTCATATTTTGATTGTTGACTTGTTTACGTTAAGTAATAAAAACTAGTGTGTAATGTTTTTGTTATAATTCGCGATCTGTTTAGTTCGTGGGGGTATATCTATCTACTTTTCTTCGCTGGCTACTAAGAGTTTTCGGTATAAAGTATCTGTCCCCTTAATGTTGATAGATTCGATTTCATGGTTCCCCTTTGGGAAGAGCAGCGCAGAAGATCAAGCGATCCGACAGGTGATTCTACTCGCTAGAGGAAAGGATTTGTTTTCACCGTAGAGCGTAATCTTAATCCGCTGCAATCACTGGATACGATCATACCTCGCGGACACTGTATAGCTCAGATAAACTGCGATGGATCCCTTCTTAATTGACATCTCATGCTGAGGGTAATACCAATAACACGAATCCAGCATTACCCCAGACTGACGAAATAGCTGGAATGTAGCTGCAGGGCTTTTCTTCTCAAACATTTGAATGGAAATATGGGATACGACGGCGCGTGAACAGAATTCATTGAGATGGGTAGACGGGGTCGTACATGCAACAAGGCATGAAATTAGTCGCGTTTCAGTGGGATAACGGCTATGCAGAATCAAAGACTGGCACCGTATGCACAGTCGAAAGCTTCGGACTCCGGGTCCGGAAATTTTTTTGGAAAACGTTTGCTGAAAAAGTGCGTTCAGTTTGTGCTGTATAAAGGGTTATCTTCGAACTATACTATAAAAGAGGCTATTGGATTTTGTGCCTATCAGGAGTATTGGGCGTCGAGGTTACAGGTACATTCAGCTTCAATTAAAGTAGATAAGGACGTGCCTAGTTCCATATTAACAAATTCAAAGTTGAGTTCACAACGCAGTAGCTATAGGCGCGTTCACGGCATCATTGCAATAAACTCACGATCTTACTAGGATATCATTCCACCAGAGTTACCAATCATTACTGGAATATGCAAACTAAATATGATTATTGCATAAATTATATTTCAGCATTATAACAGTAACAAATTAGATGAATCAAGGGCATGCATTTTAACTGGACAGTTGCCATGAGATAAAGGGTCAATGCAACACCATCTCTAAGGAACCATCACCGGATGTCTTTAGAATTGTCTCTATATAATGGATTCGTTCGATCATGCAAAATTCGTATATACGATAAGCATAGAAAAATAACTTCTTTGTGATAGCTGGGCTGTTGGATCAGTTAAACAGAAGACCCTTCAATAGGAAAACGGGTTGCTCATAGACTGACTTCACTAAGAGAATACAGATATTGTAAATTGGGAAATAACAACTAGGATTTCAGAGTAATTGCAGTTAGCTGCAATTACTCTGAAAATGCAGTACGTCTCTAATCAGAGCATTGTGTCACGAGCATTAATACTGATATAGGTTCATGAAGGAACTGCAAACGGTAGAAGAGCATAACTGCAAGGGGATTACTATTAGTGCAGGCTCGGCGTAACACCTACGGCAAAGTAGGCACAGAGGTTCGTCCATTATACCGGGTTGGAAGTTTAAAAGAAAGTGTAATCTAGGACTTACTTCCGCTTTGAAAGCGTTCTTTATACTCTATCAGTGTATTGTAACGGTATCGTCGTACAGGTACAATTTTGAGTCGAAAATATTCAAAGGTATTCCGGCTGGAAAACAGCGCATTTTCGATACAAAATGGTATCCTTTTTGTACAAAATGGTATCCGCTGCCTAGAAAATAACCTTAGCTCTGGCCGATCGTCTGAGCTTGATAAGGACAGTTGTGAAGAAGATCAGGGAATTGGCCGAAAAGAAAGGCTGTAGCCATGCGATTATCCTTAACGACGTCCGTTGGATTTCTTAAGGCTCTTATAGGTTAAGTTAGTTATAACCTTTAACAAAGGACTACAACTTAACACTGCACCTCAACATCTCGCTCGTATTGAGCCTGAACAATGACGAAAGAACTTAATGTCACAGGAAAGAAAGTGTGGTGTTTTCTATTCAGTAAAAACTCATCAAATGCGGTTCATATCTTTCCTGTTTCATAGAGTGTTACTATAACGGGAGCAAATCTATCCGTTTTTGCAATAGAATTTCTCAGAATGCAAAATTTGTTTTTTGAGCTCTACGAATAGGCGCAACGTTGAATTCGAGGAGAAATCTTCAATATTTTTTAAAGTAATGATTTTCCTACGCGGTTGATAATTTATGCAACATTAACGTATGCGAGTAATTTTGTCCTGGAGGAAGTTCCCTTTTTCCCTTAGAAGAACGTAATAATAATTTGCAAAATAATTGATGAATGTAAATCATCTCGATATATATATATATATATGGTCGGATGAATATTTTCTTTTGGGTAGCTACTTTTTATCATAGAAAGTAAAACTTATTTAGGCGCGTTGCCCTTTTTTGACATTTTGTTCGATACCCGCTGAGGATTTATGAGAAGTTTATATTGAAAAGCTTTTTTTTCGAACTTCAAATTATGAGCGTTGGCGATCTTTCTTCGGTTTTTATAGTAAAACGTGAACCAATGCAGTACATATTTGACTGGGCGAATATTTTTTCAGAGGTTGTTTCCTTTTCCCATAGAAGATATGATGGGTATGGTTTTTATCGAGGTGCTAATTTAGCATTTTTGCTTTTTTTAGGCGATCGATTAAAAATGTTGGCTAAGGTAGACCATCCTCTCCTGAGATTGTCTTTTGACCAAGTGGCAACCGAATGTTTTTATCGAAGTCGTCTTTGATACTACTCAGAAGCTTTCAAGAAGCCGAACATAATTACTGCATATGGTCCTGTACCAAAATCTGTTCTTAGGCTGAAAATTTGATATGATGTTTCGTGAAGGTGCTGCCTTCGTGTGACGAATGAATATGTATTTATACCTAGAATGGATACCTCGACATGGAAATAGTCGAAAGCTTATGGAGGGCTTGACTTCGCTCATGTGTGAGTAAAACTGAAATCTGTTCCAAGGAAATTTTGAATAATTTTTCAAGCGAAAATGTCTGTCAATAGAAAAATTGCAGCGAGTGAATATTTTGGCTAGCTATGTTTTTTACAAGAAAATAAAATACCAATATGCCAAAAACGTTCTTCTTATGTAGAGTACCACTTTATTCATGCCATTAATCAACAGATATCTACGCATGCATTATATATCATTTCACCATTGCGCAATTGTGAAAACCTCACTAGAAGTATCGGATCGGGTCTATAAAAATGAGGCGAGAATGCGTTTTTAGTTGCTTTCGAGTCGTTTCTTGAGCGAATTATCACCGAGTGTGGATAGAAAGGCGGTTAATTTTTTTTTTTTTGGAGGTGATTTTTGTAAAAACGACCTCTCCTAATTCATTTTCAGAGAAAACGTAAAAAATGCGTAATGATTTGTTATCAAAAAAAAGCTAGAGAACAATCACAAAATTTGCTGACGTCTAAGAAATTGAATCATTTCCGACCTAGACACACCAAATATTTGTCTTTGTTAAATACAAAATACGTCACTATTTAATTTACAAAATGGTTTTAATTAAAAAAATTCTCAAGCCTTGGTGACGTCCCACCATTTTTTACATCTTACAGACACGAAACAGTTTCGTCTTCTAGATGAATCTAAGTTTTTTGGCGACCGTATTAAAACAGACATATTTTATATTTTGTATATTTTATAGAAAAATCGAATGTATGAAATGCTACGGAATCACAGGTAAATAACAATTTATTCCGACATTTACGACGTCGTTTACAAAGGCAAAAACGAAAGTGCTATTTGCCTCTGTACAAAAAGGTCACCGCTAGTCGGATTGGTACAATTTGAAAGAGGCTGTGGTCTACGTTCGAACTCGGGTGTAAGCAGACTTCGTTTTGTGCTGGAATCCAGCCAGCTGTCTGACGGAATGCCTAGCGGCGATACCGAACGTAAAACTCTAAACATAAAGGTTCCTGAAACTAAGCAGAGTGATTTGTACTACTCACTAAAGAGCAGACTCGAGTCAGTAGCACCTCAGCTTTTTAAATAGGCATATGTTTACAACCTGTTTAAATCAACTTCAAATATTTTTGAAAAACGAAAACGTGTCTGGAAAGTTGAAATCCATTTTTTCGGTGAGTAATGTAGCAATATTGTATTGCTAACATAAAAAGACAGTATATATTTTGTTGAAGATTTTTATGTGATAGCGCTTGAGGTATTACGTGTTACCTCATTCCAATCCAGTTACGAGTTGCAATACAAATACGTGGGAAGTTCAACCTCACCATCGGTCAAATATCGTCTGCTCGGATTTTGTCAGACGCCTCGAAGTAGTCCCTTCTATGGTATACAATGTATGTAAGAAACATCGGCAAATCGCTCTCTTATGCGCTTAGTTTTGTACTTCTAACAAATAAAAAAACCTGTAAGTATTCACCATTCGTAAACGATGCATGCGTGGCGCTCTCATAGGCAACGAATTAGCCGACAAGTGTTTTATACTAGGCATTTGCATTATATGTCAAACGAGGTACGCCCAAAATTGGCTATTAAATACATTCTCAATTAAGCGGAAAGGGTGACAGGGAATCTGCTTATGGACAAGGAAGTGCAGAATTTGCGCCCATGTTATTGCATAAGCCATATCAAAATCGCTGATTGTTTCTGTTGAGGACCCCTTGAGTAAGGTTAAAGTGATCAGTTCTATTCACTTGACTGAATGTATGATTCGAAAAAAATAATTTTCCGCTACATTTTTTTCTACTAATGACTTTTGTACCTGAATTTATTTGGTATTCACGTAATTTGCATTTGAATATTGATTATCTATAGCTGCGAGATAGTGAACTCCGTATTGGGTTATAAAGTTGCCGTATCGCAACGTCACTGTTACCTCGCTCGGGACCTAATATCAGTACGTAAAAGGCGTTATCAGCGAACTGGTGTTTTTGTTGTACTGATAGTGATTTTTTTTATTCGATACCGATAGCAGAGCTCATTCTTAGGACAATGTGCCAGGAAATATTTAGGCCGTTGCAAACAGCTTTCTCAATCCCGCTGTTAAAATAAGAGTTCATAGGCTAATATTGCAGGCAGAACGTAATATCTTGCTCTTGTAGTTTTTTTCGGACCGGCTGGGAAACCTATCACAGACAACGTATAAAAGTCGTAAAACTTAACAGGACCGCTAACTATAATGTATCATACTAATACATGTTATAACTGAAAAATAAGCGCCTACACAGGAAAAAACTATTTGCTGAAAGTCATGTTCTTTGTTTAACGGTAAAAAAAAAATAGATTTCATTATAAACCAAACAAATTCAGTGTGCTTTTTAAGCTTCATTGAAATGCTAAATTTGAGATGGTATTAACTAGTCTATTTACATAATATTTTTACTTGCTGCCATGCATCTGAGTATTATATATATATTTATTTCAATAGGAGAACAGAGGTTCAAAGTAGTTTTGTGTCACCTTAGTCCGCTCCGTCCGTTCTTGTTTAGGGACCAAGTCGAGTGATATTTACCCTATAAAGGCATAACTTAGCTCAAGATAATAGGCGCTGAAACTTATTCGCAGCGCTGACTCACACTGCATTATTATAGTACACATTGAATACTTACCATGATTAAAAAACGCTTGCTAATTAAGCATCGCCTGTCAGCTTACTAAGGATGTGGCATATCATTGTTGCTCAGAAGTTTTGCCAAAGGTCAGAGGTCTCGCAAAAGCCAGATCATTAACGAAGCTTACCCATTAAAGGGCTTTGGGTGCAAAAAACAGTGGTGCCCCCATCAGTCAGTGTCAAGCTTTGCTACGCCTAAATTATGAAACTCAGCCCATTGTACTGATTAGGCAAGTGATGTAAAAATGCGTACAACAGTTAGTATTTGGTATTGAGACCATTAGATATTGTTTCAGACTGCTGGCTATTTGTATGTGCAAAATCCCCGGGCTTTAAATGCTGCGGGAAACAGGTGAGATCTCCAATATGTCCTCTATGGCAGTTTGCAAAAGAAAGTGAATAATCGGTAAACGTCAACAACTTTTCGGTAAATTCTATCAATACATTCCGATCAAACACTCCCTTAAGCACCGCCTTAGAGATAGGCATCAATACAAAAGAAAAGCGAACCATCTTTAAACAATCTGAATTTCTAAACCATTTCGATAATTGCAATTGCATGAAGATTTATAAAATGAAATTTGCAGCCACAAAATGCTACCAGTTTACGAAAAATAGGTGTAACAAAACTTATATATTGCTATTTTTTCTAACCCAAACAAGTCAGAGTTTGGTTGAAACTTCTTTTTAGTAAGTTGTTTCACGTTTTGAGAAAGATATACGCGGTGATTTTGTGTACCTCTATTTTCAGTTTTGTCCAAAATCCAGACTTTAACATGCCTCTAAGATTAGCAGGCAAATGTGTTAGCCACTAATTTATCACGGGACAGGTTTTTGGCCAAACAGCGCAAAGGTAGTTCAATCAAATTTGTCGCTCAGTGCGACAAACCCCTGGCCGCTTGCCGACATTGCACGATTGCGCTATGGTATACAAAGCATCCGCGTTTCATATTCAGTCTACCCTATCCATGAAGTTATTGTCAATCAATTACCGTTACTCCCATTTGCTGCACCCAGCCCGTTACGCATCCTGATTTGAAGGAGGCTTGCGAACCACATCAATTCAAACGTTGACATTCGACGAAGCGCCTTTGCTAATACCATTACTAACCGTTTTGGCTGTACCAACTATACATACGAATTTCCTATGATGTTAATATAGAATTCGGATAAAGTTTATCTAGACATATCATACTACTATTTCAAATAGCCCTGAAGTAAAACATGCAAAATTTTACCGGACGCGGACTGTTTTTTTGCGGGACCCTCTTAAATGAAATGAAACTAATAAGTTGGCCCAAATTAACTATGAAAGTTACTCAACATAAACAGTTTTAATTAGATCACCAAGATATTTACGCTTTTACCAACATCTTCTCCGGTAGACCTTACTTAGTATCTGTGCAGCTAGTAAGGTACTTGCTAAATGAGGATTATCTACAGAATAAAAACACAGCAACGCACACATTTGATAACGCACACTTAATGCATAGTTTAAATGAATTTGTTAACAAGGCAAAATTAACACTTTCTTGAAAATTTTATATGCAACACTCTTTATGAAATATAAGGCCTTGTAAATCCATTTGTGAAAAAATGCCAAATGTGTAGAGCTTGAGGTAGATACAGATTTATTTTTATATACCAACATCTCTTAACATGCTAAAAATCAGCTTAAACTGCTTTAACATCTTACAGCATGAAAGTATCATTTGAATTTGCACGATCTATTTTACGAGGAAGTGTTGGCGTTAATTAAAGTTTTACAACTTGGGTAAGTATTTTGCCTGCCGGTTTCTGGAGCACACCAAATGTCTGAAAAGGGAGTTTAGCTGGCGTCTGTGGCACAGGCTGGAGTCGATAGCGAAGTAGCAACTTGGCTAGGGTAAGTTTGATTTCCAGTTGAGCAAACCTGTAAGAAATATTTATGAAATAAGTATGTCTAAAACTTGTGAAAAGCCTACCTGTAGCTAGGCGTGTTAAGTCAACGAGGTTCTTGACAAAAGAGGAAATGTGTCCCTGGCTAAAGGATTGAAACATAAACACCACATCAAAATATGTGCTGTATATATTTTTCACTTTGCGGATGAATGGTGCATGTGTCGAAAATAGGTGCTCTTAGTATACATATAGGCTACTGGAGGTTTCTGATCATGTTGAAAGCTTTATACATTACCTCATTCCGAGACAGTTGCGGGGTCCGTTTCCGAAGGGTTGATATGCCGCAGGGTCAACTTCATTATTTAAGAATCGTTCGGGTCGGAATTCGTGGGGATTTTTGAAGTAGTCTTCTCTATAATGTACCGTATCCGCCGGAAACACTAGCAAATCGCCCTTCTTTATACTCAGCCCTACGTTTTTAGCAAAATAAAAATCTTGTCAATATTAGTTTTCCCATAAAGAAGATACACACAGCATTTATCATAATTGGCAAGATAGATAATGAATCGGCTAACAGGTGCTTAATAAATGAAGCATTCTTGTCAAATGAAGTATACTGAAAATAAGTCATAAAACAAACCATTTGGCAATTTGACATCGTGAAGCGCTAATCTGGTAATACGGTATACCGGCGAATACATCCTAAGAGTTTCTTTGATGACGGCCTCCATATAGGGAAGTTTCTGCAGTGCCTCAAAATTGATATCATCCTTAATATTTTGTTGAAGTTCCACTCGCATCTTGTTCTGTACCTCAGGATTTCGCATGAGCACATGGCTGAGTGACGCTAACGTACTTGACGTAGTTCCATATCCTGCAATCATTACTAGCCAGGCATTTTGTACTATTATGTTATCGCTAAATCCAGTCTTGACAGTATGAGACGAAGCCGATCGAAGTTTCCCTGTCTTGTCTGCATCGTCGTCCATTGTATGTTTATCTACGGCAGCCTCCTGGTACTGTGCATCGATCAGTAGCTGCAGAAGATCATTCGGCTTCTCGTTTAAATTCTGACGTCTTGATTGTATCACCTTTGCACAGTCGGCCATAAGTGCTGTGTTGGGGTTTGAGAATCGATCGGCCTTGTTAAATAGAAGTTCAATAAACAAGCGCGCCCATGGAACAAGCCAGAACAGGTAAGGAAATGACAATAGGACCCCTAGGACTATGCTATAGTTCATTTCGAAAAGACCATTAATCCGAAGTAGTACTGGATGATCAGGATTTTTAAGCACCCCATAATTAACACCTAGAGCTGTTCGACAGATTGTATCAAGAGTCAAGGTTTGGAAAGCTCTGTAGATATCAATGGGTTGTCCATTTGCGGCAGCTTTTTCCAGGAGCTCTTGAAATTCGTCCACAATTTCGGAAACACCATTAGTAACAGTTTTCAGTTTACTTATTGTAAACGACGGCGTCAAGGCGGACCGCGCATGCTTCCATTCCTGTCCGTTAAGTTCAATCAATGTTTTATTACGTGGATTTGGGCCCATAACTTTGCCACGATCCGTGAACGAAGTAAATTTTTTAGTTTGAATCAACTTAATAATTTCCTTATTACATATGGCTAAGACGGGTATCGCGCCGTTAAAGAAACCAAATACTTCACCATATTTCTCGTACCACTCACGATAACATGCCACCTGACCCTTGCGGTAGATTTTAAGTCCGTTACCGAATAAAAAATTCGGTTTGGGGCCCGGTATGTTTCTTTTTGCAAATAGTCGGAAATGCTCTCTTCGTCTACGGACCCACAGACAAAGCAGGACGAATAAAATTGCAATCAGGTAAATCGTCATAATGGTGGTAACTAGTTCGAAATGCGCTGTGCCGTGTTAGTCTGTGCTCGCTTTTCGACTGTCTGCGACAGAGTGGACACCCTGTTATATGTTATAAAGCCACCGCTACGCTGCTTACTGTTGGCGACACTATTGGGAAGCCAGTACACACAAGCTGCTGTTTCTTGGCTAACAGTCATCTTTTCTTACTCCAGGCAAAACTTCGCCTCCTATTTTCCGTTATCACTTGAGTACATGAGGTACTTACTAGTCCAGATTCGGAATTCCATCTGCTGCTAAACAAGCCAAGGTAAAAGATTATATTATAGTCTTAAAAAGAGGTTGTAAGAGGCAACGGGAGTGAAAGCAGGAGAACGCTAAGAAGGCTGTATAACACAAGCAAGTGAAATGTCACGTTTTCAAGGTTACTGAACGAGTTGATGCGTGCTTTTTGCAATAATTTAAAGAAGCTTTTATTGCACTGAACATAGTGACTAACTATTTCAATTAATGAGGCCGCCTTTTGAATTTGAGCAGGTGAAGCTTATACGTATCTAATGAAAATACTTGGCTTTTCAAATGTATTCTGCTAGTTTTTGCTTTTTTTTTTCATCTACATTTGTTATATGTTATATGTCGCCACCATCATTAGCGGAAAGACTCTATTTTACTGGTACCTTAGAAGACCGTTAAGTTGCTATGGGAAATTACAGCAGTTTGCACGAAAATATCGAGATCTCGTCCATTCCGATCAATTATTTTACTATGTATTTTTACGACTGGAGAAAGGCTCTTACTTAGTTCACTTCATGCATTTTCTTACTCAATTAATTACTTTTACTTTTTTTTTAATTTACTTACTCAATTAACCGTAATTCAAGTTGCTGTAGGTAAATGTTACAATTTTGCATTACTTTATATAGCAATGATGTTAAACACAAAACATATGTCTATACAACGGCAGTAATCCTTGTACGATACATAACCAGATAATAACATACCCGTATAAGAAGGATAGCACAATAATTAACTTGATATAGTATTTCATTTATTTTAGCCCCGGACTGAAAGCATTCCATGTCAAGTGATGCGCTAAAGACTGACTATTAGACAACGACAAGTTAAAGAACCGAAAGGATGGACTTATTCATTAACGAAAACGTGGTATTCGTTAACTGAAATTCTCCAGAGCTAACTTAATAAACCTCTTTGATGATAATATCTATATCAGGAAGGATCCCAAGGTCGACCCTATTAGGATACATAAGATTTTCCTGAAGTTCCGCAGATTGATTTGAATTCGACGGTTTCCCGTCAGCATAGAACGGATTGGAATCAGTGTATTATGTTTGACGTTGTTTTCTAAACAGTGACAAGAACTATGTAAACTTTGTGCAGAGTCACGTCATCTGTCCGTGCGGCTCCGGCCTTTGCAGTCAGAAATTAGATAGATTTCCGATCTTTCTCTTGCTGAGCTTCGTCATTTATTGTAAACTTGTTCACATCAGTTTCCTCATAATTGGCATCTATCAATAACTGCAGAAGATGATCGTGTTTCTTTTTTGGGTTAACATGCCTCAGCTGTATAACTTCGGAGCAATTAGTCATGGTCGGACTTACAAAGTTCGCAATCAGTAGAAGCTAAGCCAAATGATGCGCCGATGGAAGCAGCCAGAAGCGCCACGGAAATGACAGCAGCGCCATTAGATTAAGCTATAATTGACTGAAAAGCTGCTCTTCATCTTTGCGCTAATAAGCTGAAAGATCGCAAAGCACGCCGTATTTAACACCCATAGCGATGTGGCAAAATTACACCGCTTACAAAGGCCTGGAAAATCTTGTAGATATCAAAGGGCGGCTTTCCACCTGCGGTAGCCTCCTTAAGGCACTCTTAAAATTCGTCCACAGTCGAATTAGCTTTCTGATTGTCGACAACGATGTACCGACTGTACATGCTTTTCCTAAATAAGGGGTCAGGGATTTTCGAAATCGACGATGATGTCTCTGATGATATAAAAGCTGTGAGCGACTAAAAAAATTAACTTAGCCTTTTAAAAATCCTTTTAAATGGGTTTCCAAACTTTCGCATGAAGTTCAAATAATTGGTATGCAGTTCAAGTTACGATAAACAAATTGTTTGAGCTTTACTTCTGGACTTCCGTTAGTACTGCGTCAAATTTGCTGCGCTCGTACCGCATCCATGTATTCAAGCAGTTGAATTTAGCGAGTAGCTATAAGTCTGTAGTTGTGTCAGAATTTAAAATTTGCATGATATGAACTGCATGACAATATTACTGTTTCGTTCTGTCAGTTTGTTGACTAGTAGCTTGTAACACCGTTTCAACGGAGCGTCAACAAACGCAAGTTTTCGTTATAATACATCGTTGGTTCTATGCTTTTGTATACGTTGCCAATGCGTCCCGAGGTCAGTTTGTCGACAGGTACAAGATGTACTTTAAATTTCCGAAATCTTTGGCGGAAGAAATAGAAGACAAATTTCAGTAATGAACGTGTAAGGATATTGCTTAATGAGTGCTAGAAACGCATTCTTCAGCATCTGTTATTTATTAGCTCTAATATTCGAGTCGACATTTGGTAAGCAACGTGTGTAACTAGATAGACGAAATTGCTGTATCTGATGTCATATAAACGACATTTAGTCGCACACGTCCATTCGAATACAGTGTGCAAAAGACTTCCCCTAGTGATAGATCCATCCGTGTTAGTTAATCCATGAAAGGAAAATGGGAATAATAAAAATATCTTTACATTTTCTCGAACTCCTTAGATCTATTTTTTATCGACTTGAACTAGCGGCTCAAATCAGACGGGGTCGACTCGACGTAGATGTAGCAACTTTGAAAACTCTAAATTACTGAATTTAAATGAAGTTTGTTTTTACCGTTTCATGCCATACAGTTCTGCATTCGAAATATCTATATACCCAAATAAGAAAGATACAGGTCAGTGGTGAGTTAGGCAAAGTCTGGAACATCGTAAAGAACTGTATCTCCCATGTCACCCTGCCGAAACTTAACCCAAAATTTTGAAAGCCATACTACTTGTACCGGATTCTTCAGAAACGAAGCTTCAACTTTATTGCAACGACCACGCTTAAATTACAAGGAAGCTTAAGTTTATAGCGAAATTGCCTGTTTTGCATTATATTTGAGTGCTATTTAAATGCAATTATTAAATTAGGGGGTATCACTTGTACTGCTGGCAAAATAGTCAGTATTATTACAATGACAAGTGTGACATAGTTATTTGACGATGGAATTTTAACTCCTCTAGTGAATGGCTTGTTTTTGAGATACTAGTACATGTTTGATAACACTAAAACAAGAGACATTGTTCACCTCTGTTTTATTTTGGCCATAAAGCCGCAATTTCGCTGAATGGATCCCTGGCTCAGTTACTTCAATACGAAGAAAACTCAGCTGTCTCTGTTAGCCGGAAGCAAACTGAAAATATGTACATTTGTCCGCTCACTATATAATAAATAAGGACAAAAGACGCTACGCAGTACCTTATAGTGAGTCTAACTATCCAAAACTTCATATTCCTTGTGAGAGTTTTGCTCTGATCCGCTGTCATCCATTCAAGCTCTTCAGACATTTAAACAGAGCCCCAGTTACTTTCTCTTACAGGTTAGCATGTATAAGGAATGGCACAGGTGCTATAGTAGACAAGAATAAGAGTATGCAAAAACGAAAATAATCATAATAAAATAGATATCGCTCCGCAAATTTTTTAAAAGCGGTTTGGCAATTCAGGATTAGAAAGGCATCATTCGAATAGCGCTTGTTGAACATAGGCCATGAAATTTGTTCAGAATTCAGTCATGGCACGTTATTGTTCCAGCTACAAGTTTGGACAGCATGAATTATTGAAATGCTTTTACAATGCGATTTCTGGAGAACGAACTCTCGACCTTCGCAGACATTTCATGGAGATAGTGATGCTACCACGCTAGGATTCTAACGAGCTTTTGATGAGATAAATTTTTTTATAATTTGAAAATTTTTCCGCTTACAAAGAGCAGCGCGGTAATTTCAAACAGATTCCCAAGACTGGTAACTCATTGCAGCAGTTGCCATAAATGTAGGAAGCATGTCTTCAAAGGTTGAATCTGAAATCGTTACTGGCAACAAGCGAAGGAGCGCAAAGCGCGGAGCATTTCACGTCTAATTTTTGTAGGTGGATTAGTAAAACTTCAACTTTAAATTATTTATAAACAAAATATTTTCTAATCTTTTTTCATTGTGGCGTATAAGAGTTACGAAAAAAGATTGCAAAATAATATTTGTTAAATCTTTTTTCATAACTAGTATACGCTACAATTACATAAATTTGCAAATCAGAGACTCGAGGGGATTAAGCCTTGTTCACTGTTTCAAGGGCGGGTAAGAACAAACTCAACGGGATTAAGCCTTGCTCACTGTTTCAAGGGCGGGTAAAACAAGTAACATATCTAGAATGTGGGAGAAATGCTTTCAGTTAATACCCATCAAGATTTTAAGCTAGTGACTACTTAACCATTTGTCTAAGCCCTAATCAAAGGCATATTTACATGATACTATAAAACGCACTGTTCGTTTATTTCAAACGCTAGCGTGCATAGAAGATACTCCAGGCTGCTGTTGACTCGCCTATGAAAATTGGTAGCAATCTTAATCTGCGTACACACTACATAGCCACAAAAACAAAGCAGGGCGTCCTAGCAAGTCCTAGTAAGTGAAGTAAGTAATTAACTGAGCAGTCACTGCATACAAAAATATCTCGTAACTATCGAAGTATCTAGAATAGCTTTAATTAATACAAAATTAATCATTTTTTTTCTTCAAAGGTACACTCGACTAACTTAGCCCATTTAATCAACGAATTCAACTGTACAAACCTTTAATACAACAATTTGTGTGTGACGCTTCTTGACAATGTAAGACTAACAACTTTAATGATAAAATTCTATTTTAATCTATCCCGATTTTAATGAAGAAGTAAACTTTTACATAAAATTTAAATATTTAAATTATGACACAATCTTTAAAATAAATCAATAATTTGTTTATTACATAACAGCTATAAAATAATTTCTTCTCTTCCACGTCAATATTATGACATTGGTTTCTTTCAGTTCAACATCTTGACGCGGAGCGCATAAGTTTTCAGCTGTGTTAGTTATACCAAATTGTCCATGCACCTTTTTTTAAATAATAATATTTTTAGATACACGCTATTGTTAGGCAGTTCCGTTTACAGGTTCGGAGGCCTAAACAGCAAAAAGTTTCCCGTTCTGCTTCACTGAACGGGGAAATACTTTAAGTCCTTGTTATACAGCGTTTTGATTTGCTTGTACAGCGGCTCCGATTTCGGATAGTGGTCAAGCCATGATTTTGCGAAACCCTCGGGAGAATTATCATATGTAAGAAGTTCTACTTCTCCAGCTAGACGTCGATTGAATATATGAAAGAAAAGGAGAAATACAAATTAAAGACTGAATTGAATTTTTGCTATGGTTAAATAAGCATTCACTAAGCTCTCGTAACATATCAAAATAATTTTACATCTGTCTACATGCTTATCGTGCAGTAACGGTGTTAATGAGAGGGCTCTGAGAGAGCAAATCTAAGCCGATTAAGGTAAAAACAGTCATTATTTAATCCTACACATTTTGAGTTTTCAATGCGATACCACTGCTCAGTATTGCTTCGAACAACTGGTTTTTAGCACGAACCAAAGTGCGTATACACCTGGCATAGAACGTAGACACTTGTGTCCCCAAGCACATCGGGAAAGAAAATGTTAGTACTGCACTATCAATCGGACTATCAAGGTAGTCTTGTACTAGCTGTATTATGCAATAGAGTTAAAACGCTTATATACACTATCCATTTTGAGAACAAATGTTCGGAGCAACAACGCATTAGGCATGAAGTTCTTGAGTGGAACAGATGCAGGCGATAGCGATTATATTGAGCAAAGCATCCTTAGGAAGTGTTACTCCTCAACTAGTACTAATACTACGTCCCATACTTACAAGCTTTGTCGAGGCGAGTGGCACTTTGGACAAGAATAGCTCTGGGCCTCTTACGATCAATAATAATATTTCGGATTTCAACAAAGTCAATACTGTTCCTCTTCTTCACCTGCGAGTACTCCATATACATTTTACGAGCACTTTCGATGTCTGCTGTCGCCTTGTACACCTGAAGCTTCAACAGAAATTTGGCAATCGTGTTCTTGCCCGACTTGAGGATTTCGTCCCTGTAATAGATGTCGTAGATTAACTAGTGAGACTATGCATCGCGGAAGGCAGAGGACCACAGGTATTTAGTTGATTGTTCTTTGTATCCTAATCAAATAGAGAACTTGTTTAGCCAAATCAAGCTGACACTTCATTAATAATAATCTAATTCCATAAGTTAACTAACGTTAGTAACGCTTTCGCAGAATGACCGCTTTTGCTTTTCAAGTTATAATTTCGCTGTCGCTAAGCTAACTTTTATAAACTTATTGACATAACTAGCTTAAAATCAAACACTAGCCTCTTCAGGGTGACAAGAAGATCTGGCTTTCCGTCCTCCTTGTTCGTAACAATTTTTATTTCGATAAGGTTCTCGGACCCTTCGAGAAGCACACTCAAAATTACAAAGCGAGCATTCGCATGTGCTTGATTCCACTTGCCGGTATCGGAGTTGTAGTGTTCAAGACTCCTCAAACCAGTGATCATCATGGAAAGCCAGTTAACATACATCAAATTATCCGCCTCCTTGCCGACACTCCTGAATACCTGCATTTTTCGAAAAATTTCGGATCGAATATAAAATAAAACGAAGAACACATCGCACCCATTAGGTAAGGGAATGTAAAGGATTAGTACAAATGTCTGTATTTGTTGATCCCATTGTAGTTTTGAGTGCTTTGCGGTTAGATGTTTAATGGCCTGATTATTGCAAGTCGAATTGCAAGTCTAGGTATCGTACAGGAAAATGAAATTTTTATTTCATACAATTATATACAAATTAGCTTTGTTAAATAAAATAACATTTTTCTATCTGGCTTCTAACGTCAGATAGCCTAACATAAACATTTCTAAAATAAATAAGAACGCCGAACAATGTAACTCACCTTTAAAACATTTGGAAAAGTAGAGAGAAATATGCCAACGCACTCCGCACGGCACTCTTCGTATGAGGAAGCGATGTCAGTAAAGATGGAATTGAACGTCTCTCCTGGTCGATAGTACGAAGTGATCTATAAAAAGAATTATATCATTAGTGTTTTATTAGGACAGGTCAAAATACTATTTTTATCATTTTTGTCATTTGTATCCAGCGTAGCACGATTTAACTTAAAGAGAACTATTTCATGACGCCTTGCTTCAACCAGTGTGAGTTTGGCGCTACCTAAATGGCTAGCCCAGTAATCGCCTATACTGATATTAGTTACAAACAATATGACCTTAAATTAGAAGATGTAACATACCTCGTTACCGTTCAATGGATTCTTCGTGTTTTTATGATTAAAATTCAGCGTTCCAGACTCATTGACCGAGAAGAGCTTTCCACTTCCGTGACCAAGGAGCTCGTGCAAAGCAAGCTGCACCTCGCATGCCGCCTCACGATACCTGTTATCAAAATCATACATATTTTTAGATAACACGCCTTTAGTGTAACAAGCGTTATCAATAGCTGTTTTAAGTTTCGTGTCAATTGAGGGTCTGTGTAATTAAAAAACTAACAAAACACCAAATATCGACAACTACATTTTTACCAGAGGACATACCACAACAATAATATTAATAATAGAGGACATATCACAAAATGATAACTTGGAAGCATATCTGCACAGAAGCATATCTTCATTAACAGAGGGAAAAACAATATCGAAAATACAAGTCAACCTGGACTAAAACGGCGGCAAGCCTTCACGACGACTTCACAGACGATGCAGAGAATAATGTAAATATATAGTCTCGACTAAGATCTATGATCTTCAAAAAATGCATGTAGTCGAGATTATGTTAGTGTCACTCGATTTGATAACCTTAACCCGCATAAACTGCCTTGTAAGTCTTATCAGAAAACGAACAGATACCTCGTACACAAGTCTTACATCTTAATGAGTTCGGCATCCTCGTCTGAGACAAACTTGATTTTCATCGCAGCGTTACCGGCCTTAACAACGTTAAGCAGGTGGACGTTTTTAAAGCCCTCATTCTGCCGAATCTCATCGTCTGCGAACAGATACATGTATTTGTTATTATCTGCCGAAACTAATGTAAGCAGCAATTTTATTTTATATATTTCACAGGAGGTATAAGTCAATCAAATTAATACTATGTTATCACATGGTTTGCAAAGAACAACTTTTTTTCATCTAACTTATAACGAATACAATACGCATGTCTTTCGCCAGCTAGAACAGCAACTCACAATTGGGAATATTGATGCCGGCAGGAATAGAGCTTCCACTGAACGTGACGATGTCTAGGGCAGTGAAGTCGGGCCGCAAATACTCATCTTTCTCGAACTCTTTGGGCCATGGTAATGAACTTTTAATAATCTCCTCCGCATGATAAACCAATTCGCCGAGTACTTTCGAACTTTCCTTGTTCACCACAGCTGTAAAGGCCTCGAACTCAGCGCGGACACCCGCAGGATCACGGTAGGTTTCGATAAAACCAATGTAGCTAAAACGACATAGAACCAAGCCGTACTGAAAGGTTAGACATATATACATCAAAAGGAATTTATGATTTTCGGCGAAAGGGTAAATATATCAAATGTGGATGTCACTACCATCGCAATATTAGACAATGTCTTTAAAAAGGACAAAATGAGTAACAGACCACCACACCTATGTAGTTACAGCTACTTTAGACAAAAATGCACAGGTTTTTTTTTATGACACTCACGCTTCAACAGTGGGTCCCTTATCTTTAATCCAGTATCGGCTACCGTTCTTATGAGCTGTAAGCGAGCCTGTATCGAAGTACTTGATGTACTCATTGAGCATGTTTTTTTGGTTATCATTCAAAGAAGTGTTGACGGCCAACTTCAGGTTTGATATGATAGCCGGCATCAGCTGAAAGCAAAGGACAATTGTGTCAGGTTAGATGTGCATACTACGAACTTGAATTATATGCCAAAAGGTAATTTTTCTCGGTAATCTGTGCTTAACTTGGCCTTATCAGATAACATACTGTAATCAGGTAGCATTTTACATGGAAGGTGGTTTTGACGTTGGAGATAGAGTCTGCCTACGATTTATTGTAACGATATACTTACCTCTGAATAGTCGCCACGCGTGAATTTAAACATTCTGCCCTTGTATTCCTCCTTATGTCCTATTAATTGCTCTGCAGTAGTGTCAGGCTCATCCGTAAGCTGCTTTGAAGCGAATCGGATTTCGTACTCGTCTTTATCATTACCATCGGTATTGGCAGCCGTCTTGAATACGCGACTGTTCCATACTTCTACCTTCTGCAATAGACATTTACCCTCCATCACCTCAGCTGGCGTGGGATAAGCTATGTGCGACATGCAAAGATTTAACTCGCCAAACGTATAGTCAAATGAACATCGTTCTAGTAACCCACCTTCGAGTTTAGGAACTCCGTAACAAACTTGGCGTCGTTTTCGTTGCAATTGGCTGACCAGTATGTAGTGATGGAGGCTGGAGGAAAGCCCAACGAGCGCACCCGACTCTCATAGTCATAGAGTTGTTCTATGCAGTGCTTGGTGAAAAAGGGGAGCTCGTCAGAAGACAGTACCTCCTTTGCTACCGAAGTGAACTTGTCGATGCTTACGTTCGGCACAAACTTTGTATCGCCAAAGCCTCTATTAAATTCAATAATCAGGAAAAATATGAATAACCCACGTCAGAATTTCACAAGTCCTAAACAAAACAAATATTAGTCCTATGTCCTGTCCCCTTGGCAAGCTTCAGAAACGCAATTTACTAGTGCACCCATTTATTCGCCAGAGCAGAGACTAGTTTTGAGCTATAACATTTAGCTTGTTCAAATTTTGGCCGCCCTAATGAAACGAAATTTAAGAAATCAGTTAAAATTCCCGGCTCACTGTAACCACAAACACTGCTCAAAATCGACCAAATACGAAATGGGCAATTCAACGGTACATTGCACACCCGGCGTTCATAGACAATACTTCGTCTGGACTGGACTCGGCTTGGTTTAACTCAAAATGAAATAATTTTCTCAGGATACCTGAATGTAAGAAATTACTGTTATTGACATTCCGGTGTTGAGATCAAAACCTCGTGCCTTTTCGCACTTTACTTACCGATAGTTACCACTGTTGGCCATGAAAGCACCAGCATAAACGAGGAATGCCGTTGTCTCATCGTCACTAAAACCATGGTTCTGTTTTAAGTGGGCTACGACTTCGGGCACAGAGGACTTCACTCGGAGAATTTTGTCGAGAAGAATGAAAATCAAAGGTGATTCTGGCGAAACCTGGAACATACTGATAATTTGGCTTTCCCATGCCGCCCTGCAATGTTTTTAAAGCCGGTTATGCATACAACATTTTGATTCAGTGCTACCGAAGGCCAAAAAAGTGCGGGTGATTTAACGTCGCTGGCTGCGTTGTTAAGAAATGAATTAACGTCGCTTGGATTAAAGTGGTATACGGGTTTTATCCATCGTTATTCGTACATCGGGAACCACCCTATGCGACTAAATTAACTATAAACAACCAAGTAGCCTAGATGGACAACAAAAATTGACACTTTTCTAAGCACACTGAAATGACGATACATTATCAATGCATACCTGGATATATAGTGAGTATAAAGCTTCTCTTCCTTGGTGAGATTCCTGAAAGCTACGTCGCAGTCCAGCTTTTGGAAAGGAGTATCATTAGGATAGTGCATGTCCACCATGGCTACTTCGTCTGGAAATGTTGATTAAACAAGCGTACACAGACAGTCGTTATGTATTAGGTCGTTGTTCATTCAATTCGAATATCAAATCAACTGGGATTTTTCTATGTAGCTAAGATGCGCCGGCTAAACGGTATATACAGAGGGCTTTCTGTATGTCTTCGCTTCCCACTGTAAAACAGTATGTTCTTTGAAAGATGAAACTCCGATAGTTTTGCTGGCCATTGCTCACCGAGTCCCTCGCCACCGATAGTTGTTAACATAAAGCGGCCTTTCACATCAACCTACCGTAGGACCCATATTATAATTGTTAGTACAGACGTACTCTTAAATGGCACTCAAATATCCGCAAGTACGATTAAGTGACCAATTTCAGTAAGCTTACCAACAACGCATGTTCGTATTCGAACGAGCCTCATAGCAACGGCCTATTTGAGCAAGAATTTTCCCCATACAAGCAAACACATGCATATGCTGTCGTTTTGGAACTATCATAAACATGCCTGAACCGAACTTTACATGATTCGTAATGGAAAAAAATTTGATGTTAAAAAAAACCGTTGGATAGAGTTGTTAGACTAATGACTAATGAGAGCAGATGTCGAGCGCGTGGACCACATCGGAGAACACTACAAGTACCGCATAGATTTCCTGTAGAAAAAGGTCAATGGAGGCCTTTAGTACTTGCAGTATATTCAAGCAACGTGTATCGGTACACCGAGGTCGGACAACTTGCTCTACTGTACAGGTTTCACGGACACGTTCCTGTGAGGTAAACATTTCAATTGTTGGATAATATGTAGACAAGAATCGGATACATTGCCGTTGAGACTATTGGCGATGATGATTAAGTAGTCAAGTAAATCAGCCAAGTGCTGAATTAAGATAGATCATTACTATTACCAACTACTTAGATGCAAAACTGTTTAGTCGGAATGGAATGCAATAAATCGGAAAACAATTCAAAGATCTGAGTTTAAATTTCATTCATTACTCTTCACATTGATAGGGCCTTTCTGTTATTATTGTTGGCGAATAAAGGTGTCACACCGCTATAGAAGTGCCAATAGCCAAATTGGCGAATCATACTAACATGTAAATTTTGCATCACTACTCGCAGTGAACTTATCTCCGTTAGGGGACGAAGACATTAAGCACAAAAATAACCCACTACCTTCCACGCTGTTGCACTTTGATACTATCATTATTTAAGGCCGTTTGTCTTTAACTGCGCAATGTTTTGTTTGATGATCTATTTATGAAGTACATTACAGCTATTTAACTCTTTCTAAATCAGCACTTTATAAAAACTATGACATAGTGCGCTACAGAGTCGTGCGTTAGGAAATAAACAGCCACGTGACATTGACGGATCAAAATTATTAACGAAAACTACAAAGTAATTCACGGTAATCGTGAGCTGTTTAAGCAGCCGGACTAGACTTCTAGTCAGAGATATGATTATATTCTGGAACTTCTAGAGCTTTTTACTTAGAAGTTGAAAAAATATTTTGTGTTTTATTATAACTCCAGTTGTCTTCTAAGTCATTATTTTGCGGGCTGAATATTACCACATGTTGATGTTTTGTACTGTTAGAGGAAACCGGTCGAGTGAATATAGTACAAGATAAAAGTCAAGGACGAAACATGCAACGAAATCAGTAACAGCTGCACCTCCTAGACGAGTGTTGAGTTGCTTCTGTTACCCAACAATATGGCCAGACTTCTGAATATCGTCATCGCTATGACAGGAGCACGCTTGGAGGATGTGGTAAAGTATGAAGCGATAGGATGAGGTCAAATCTATCCGGCGTTAATGTGACGCCGGCTTATATATCGTTGCTGTTCAAAAAAGCTTGTCTGCTGGCAAGCCTTCCTTCGAACGATTTCAATCACATGTAACGGCTGCGTTTTCACTTACAAGCGAAGCTGCCTGACGCATTATCAGTTCGAAAACAGTAAATTAACATGTTCAGGATAAATTAAAACACCGTTGATGTGGCTTGTTTGTAAGCTGTATTAAAAAAAAAACTGGTATTTCTAAAAAAACATGACTTGCATTCGCTGAGACACTAATATTTCAAAAACGGAATTATTCAATATAGCTGCCTTTGTATCAATTGCCACGTTAATTCGGGGCTTATTTGTATCAATTGCCACGTTAATTCGGGGCTTAAAACAAGTCCCAATTTAAATGTGGAAGTCCGACAATTTCAGGCACCTAAGCATTTGTGTCATGGTTCGTATGGTGCAAATACAATGGATAATAGTTTTTGGTAAGGCTCCGATCACGGAATTCCTATATTAACCAAGGTAAATTTGTGGCTTTATCGGAGGTTAGCAACAACATAAATAATTTTTCAATAGCGACGACAATAAACTATATAGAGAAACGTGCACACACATTTGCGAATGATTACTTTGCATAAGCAAATTCTGCTATCCTCAATCAACAACAAATACAAAGCATACCGCATTTCAGCTGTCAAATCGTCAACGTAATATTGCATGTACTAAAAAATTCTTCGCACAGAAATCTAAATGAAACAATGTACCTCTGCCAATCACGAGCACATGCGGTTGTAGCACCGTTTGCAGAATTAGTAGACCAATGACGTAGCGAGCCCGGCCTCCACGAAGACAGCAAGATCGCGGACTCCAGAAATTTGCTTGTTTCATAATTGTCAAACACCAAATTCAATCTTTTTACTATATTCATAGGCTGAGTAAACTGCTGAGATAAAGAACCACGAACTTCACTCTCTCTTTGTTGTCTGTGCACTATTTTTGCGCATTGCTCGCTTAGTCTCACCTTCTTGCCTGTTAAACGCCTGCCCTCTACCCTGCGGTCGTGACTCTCCGAGTTCGGCTATTCCCGCCACAGTGAGCATTGGCTATCACGACCAGCGGTAGCTGACCAAAGGTAGCGCTTGCTATAGGAATCGTCGCAGCAGCCGCAGTAGCGGCGGCAGGCAGCACACACTGTACTTGGTCGCGCTAGCAGCGTCAGAAGTAGCACAATGAACAGAAATAGCCTGCTAATTTGCGCGTACCCTTCGGATTGCCTAGCTGCGTAGTAACACGAGTGGCACCGATTCGGCAGCATATACAAGTTTGCCTAAATTTAAAAGGACAGCTACCGCCCTTCGCTTCCGTAGAGCCGTCTGTCCACGCCACTTACTGCTATCCAGCATCAGCTATACTACACCATATCTTCTGCCAGAAGAAAACCCCGCTGGATTTCTGTGTCACTAGCTTTTGCGCTGGGCCGGATTGAGCTGTAACCAATGGCGACGATAGCGGAAAGGATGTCAGAAAGGCAGACAGAAAAAAATATCAGCAATATCAGTAGCTACATCAGCACCGCTGGTTTATAGTCTATCGCTTGTGTGTATCATCTTTCGAAATATATGTACACGATTAGATCACTCTGTCTGTTTGACTGACTGACTTATGGACAAACAATAAAACGCAGTCATTCTAACGAAATCGATTTAACTCTGATTAGTCGCTTTGATACAGTCAACGATACCTGCAACGAATAGGTATATTTCTGGGTCGTACAGTAATTGCGTTCTGAGCTTGTGTTTCGCAAATGTCGTTGTCATTTGGTGTGCTGCTCTTCCGTTTGTTGCAGTCGAAACGATCTCACCAGTCATCACAGCTTGGCGGCTCAAGCAAAAAATCCGTGTTAAGCTTAAAACGCGTTTATCATACGAGAATGAGCTATAAAATGATGCAGTGGGATGACTAGACACGGCTAGGACATTGTAATCGTTCTGGATTTCTCGTCTTTTTTTTCTGTTCTGGGGAACTTCACGGAATTCAGGTCGCCGTAAGGGAAGTAAGACTAAATACCCTAAATGTGACCATAACATCGGAAATATATAATTCCCGTATGTTTTGAGTGGTAAAATTGCGTTTATAGATCAATATGAGATTTTCTCATTTCAATATGAGGTGTTACGTACCTCCAGAACGTGTAAATTACTGAATAGTGCTCAAGTTTTTATATCTTTACCTGGCTACAGTTGCTCCAGCTTCCTGGGCTCAAAAACGGGAAACATTTTAAATAAATGATGCTCATTACATGCGAGCCTAATCATTAACATGTCGACAATATATGTAGCTGTACGGTGAATAGCTGAGGCGATAATATCTCATTCATATATTAGTTTTGTCTGCATCGCCTATTTAAGTTAGAAACCTTCGTAAAACATTTTTACAGATATCTTTCTCATAAGATCTCCATAGTAAAGTATGAAACAAACCCGAAGAAGATACAATTTGCTACGAAGCTGAGGCGAGCCCTTCACGGCTTCAGTAGTAATGTTCAATGAAAAGCCAGAAACGTGTGGGAAACCTCACCCACAAAATCGGCCAAAAAAATAAAAATCGGTGTAGTTGTGTATTATGGTGATCCTCTTGCAATTATAGAAGTGATTGCTAACGAGATAGGCCGACTACCCGTTGGAAATAAGGTATGTTTTTCACTTAACGTCAGCCCACATTACACTATCCTGTGCGTTCACTCATTCTATCAATTCGAATGTTTGTTATATTTACGGGTGATTTTATAAGCTATGCTGTTGAAAAATTTCAAAGAAAAAGCTCGAGCAAACTTCAATCTACCATTGTTATCAAATCTTCATAGAATTACTGTTTATCAAAAATATCAATATTAAGTGTAAAATGTAATCGAATGCAATAAACCAATAGTTTAGTTTTTTCATTATAATGTTATATGCTAACAGCAGCTTGCCGGGAAGTGGCCAAAGGCTATACTACTACATTCGTTGCAATAACCAATTGTCTTCCATATAATTCGCTAAGGTTAAGTATGAGAAATTTACATCTCTACGGTGCGCAGCTTCGGCTCATTACTTACAACCTTGCATGATTCATTTCATCATATAGAAATAATAAAGCATGAGGTTCTTCCGTGCTGTGCTTAGAGGTCTGTGGTGGAATCTTTCTTTAAGACCCTATGAATTGAAAAAGGTTGTACAAACTACACTATTGTCTAAGCCATCTTTACCTGAAGCAAATAAAATCATACACGTAAAGAAACAATACTGGTGTTCCAAAAATTTTGAAATCATAAAACACGACTATGGTGCAATTCAAAAACTTTGTTGCAGAAACGTCCTCGAAATTCATATCTCCGGTTTAACACAAGCAATACTATGCCCTTTACAAATTAGCACTACAAATATTTAGATAGAGGTAAAATAGCTTTGACATGTCTCGAAAAAGGAATATATAATATTATAACACTGCATTTAAATTCTAAACACACTAAATGTGTGCGGAATTTAAATGTTTATTAAAAAAATAAATGCGGGTAAACTACTGAGCTGTCTCCAAAAGGTGTGGTAATTACACATATCTAGGGGTTTCTTTCTACTAAGAGCTTGATATTTGTTAGTTTTTTAAGCTTCTGGAATCCGATGTAATTCGTGTAACATAACGCTAATGCAGTTCCCGAAGTAAAACCGGAAACATCCGAGATAACCATAGGTCGATAAGATTTATTGCTTGCTAGATGCAAACATTCGGACTACAGTTACAATGCATGCAGTCATATCGAAAGTCATATCACTAAGTATCCGAAGAACAGTAACATGCAGTTATTCAAAATCAAATCAAACTAAAATATAAGTTATGTTTGGTTACTAAAGTGCCAAAAGCGCATAGATTTACGTTGAGTCATTGGCGATTTAAAATCATAGATTTCATCGTTTTTTTTTATAAATCATTTAATTTCATACATTAGCCCTAAGGTATACGCGTCATATAAGAGATCAATGAATATCGAGCAATGAGTTGCACAGTAAAATACACCCAATCAAGGAAGCTCCTGTTTCAAAGAAATGCTGAGACTACGTACAATGGAATCCAAAATCGTCTCGCGTATTTCCTAGTCGACTCGCCACTGTTGTGCAAAGATCTGCGTAGTCGCTTTGAACTTGGAGCATAGGGAGCATATCGAGACCGATCTGGAGAACTAGGAACAGGTATTCGATTGATGAGAGCTTTGTGTTGGATACGATGAGGAACAATTGGTGAAAAGGGACGAATCGGCCACGCATATTGTTATTCGCTTTGCCGTTCATGAGTTCCACCACAGATTCCACAGGAAACCAGGTTTCCGCAAGCCTGACGATACATGTAGGTGTTCAAGATGCGATGAAAATTGTAATGCATACCATGCCTCTCGTTGCCCCCTGGTATCATTTTTAAGACATCCCGCAAACCTCTTTTGCGAACTCAACAAGACTGGTATTACAACCCATATGACAGTGTTTTAAACGATTTAATATATTCTCTAACGGCATTGGTTGCTTATATTTATTAAACTTTCGGCTGTTACCAGCAAAGGTGGATAAATTCCACTGTAAACATTTTAATAGGCTGATAATAATAAAAAACATGGGCAGCGTCAATATAACACGCGCATCGCCGAAATATGGGCCGAAAAAGTGCAACAGTTTAAATCGAATCCCTTTCATAAGTTATGCTTTAAAATAAACAAGCTCGAATAATAATTTTATGTAACTTTCCCTTCTCTTAGACTTAGTACTCAGCTTAAAACGCCAATTTTCAATTAAAAGAGGGCAAGTCTTTGCCTAACCGGCCTTTCTCACACGTATAGTTAGACTCCGATAAAGATAGCTCACCGTGAGCTTTCCACATCAATTATTCAGACTTTTTAGCATGCAATTAGAGGAGAACCCTTTGCTCGGTATTTTTATCAATTTCAAAAACTACCAGGGCACAAATGGGATCGACACACTAAAAACTCGAAACAGTGGAACCAAACTCAGCGGCAATCACCTATATATGTAACACATGTATCTACGCAAGTTCAAACTTTCTGTAATATTTTTAAATGACCAATTTTCGGCACTTGGGCGGAAGTCAGCCAACGCCAAATTTGAGCGGTTCATTCTCACGGACTCACCTTGGCCACTCTTGATTACGAAATCAACTGCTTATATATCGAGTTCAAACGTCCTTGTGTACAGCCGGAAATAAATAGCTGCGAATTCGCTACAAGTTAGCCCAACATAAACCTTGAGCTGATGAGACACATCGCTCACTCAAACGAATTCGACAGATTGTGCAAGCAATATGTCTCTTTACAAAAAACTTGCTGTTTTTTAGACATCCATTTGGCGCGTTGACACTGGAAAATTATTAAAAACTAAACTCTTTTATGGCTGAGCGTAGTATACGATATTAATGCAAGAATGCTCACCAATTTACAGTGCACAACTCGATCGCAAGACCCGTCGATCTGCAACAATTTTGTCAAGAAAGAGACCGTTCTCTCCTCAACAGCTCGATGTCTTCGTCATCACTTTGCTAAGCTGCTGCCTTGCAATCTGAAGCGGCACGCGAGCAGACGACCTAATCTTGCTCGATAAACAAAGTGAGTGCTGCCTTAACGTCGTCTGCAGCGGCGGCTTAGAGCACTCGTTGCGACAACCCCGCGCCAAATTTAAATGCATCCAGTCAAAAGATTGCTACGTAAACGTAACAGTCCCTACTCAGATGTGGTACCGCAAGCGTGATATCTTTGGCTCAATGTTTTTAAAAATGATTTCAGCTATGGATAGCTGAAAAATTTTAGCCTTACACAAGAAATGGCAAATCACTTCAACGTTACAAATAAATTCTATAGGAAATCTGAAACTAACACCCAAAATGTAAATTTGTTGACGCTACTAATTGCGTCTTGCTCAATGGTAAATTAAATATATTATGTAAATAGCAGCAATACGCTTTGAATGAAAAGAAAATTTTTCTGAGTAGACCTTGAAGATATGTTGAAGATCTATTGAACAAACCCATTAGTGAAAAAAATAACCATAGTAGTTTTCCCGAATGATATTTATAGAAGGGTTTTGAAATATATAAGGCAGTAATTATGCAGCTTTTCGCTTATTATGAGACAACGACATTCAATTCCATAATAAAGTGTAACAACTATCAGAGTGACTTCCATCGACTATGAGAATGCGATACCTTCAATCGGGATCTGCGTACAGTAAGACAACCACTTGGTTTACTGCATACTGCAAAGAGACTTTGTATAAGATACTTATTATATATTATTAGTCATATTCGATATCATTATTCCTAAATTTCTAATATTACGGAAACAAAGAAAAATAAAAATTGAAAATATTTGAGTTCGACAACGTTTTAAATTTTGTAATAAGCCATAAAGACCTAGGGGACTTCGGCATGTTAAACTGCGAATAGTACTAAAACAAAGCTACAAATGACAGTTTTAATACAAAAAAAACATAATTACCATGTGGCATCCACACGGAGTAAGAAACTAAAACAAATTTGACAAATTCATTTATTATTCAATCTAGGCATATTACACAAAAAAAAACTAAATAGTTTTGACATGCAACTCACGTAAAGAAATAGGATTTCTGACAGCTCTACTGAGCAGTTGAGCGTTGTTCTTGAAGTTGCTCTGATAGGTGGTTGGTTCCGGTTGCTCGTCCTACAAAAAAATAAACTCTATTGAGCATTATTGACACATCGTTTAAAATTAGTATTTTATACATAGAACGATTACGATCAATCGTTTTTCTCAAGTATATCAAAGGCTGTCACCGCCTACAATTTACTTTTACCAGTTTTCTAAAGCTGAGGAGCCTTACGTTCTCACATTTTGCTTTGAATTCATATCTAACGTTCGGACGTAGCCAACTATAACCATCTAATGAATATTCAAAACAATATTCGCTACCACCTACCTCAATATCGGCTAATTTTTCCTTTTTCACATGTATGCTGCTTGTTGTCGTTGAGCAAAAACTCCTTAAACTAGGAGTGAACTCTGACACAGAAGTTGCCACTCCTGGTGGAACGGCCAAAAAATTAGTGTATTGACCGTACTTTTTGGAAGCGGCAAAACAAGCTGACGAATTTCTTAAATTGCTAACGAAACGCCTCTTCACTGCCTGCAAATACTGAGTCTTCTACAATTATAAAGATAGCAAAAACCCTTAGAGAAATCTAAGAAATCTTAAAAAAAAAAACTCGAAAATCTAATCGCTCGCACTGCATCTTTTTGAGATTTCCAAATGCAAGAGCTAAAAAGTTATTATCTGTTTATTTATTTCCTCTTATCGAGAGGCATTAGGCAAACACCTCATGTTTGTTCATGAACAAAGTAAGAGTTTGTTCACGAAATGCGAACTCTGATGACACACTTACACTTAAATGAGCATTACAAGCTCCACCGAGTTTTGCAGCGCGTAATATACGGTACATTACTGTGAACCGGAAACACTGAACGGTGGTAACACAATAAAATACTTCTACTTAAAACATTATAAAGCACTGTCTAACAACGCGCTAATTTCATCAATGCACGCACGACATACGCAGCAATACACGAGAGTCTAGGGATGTCTAGGGACATTTAGGGATTTCTTCGAAATTAACCTATCATATACATATGTATATAGCACCCGTAATGGATAATAAATGGGTATCGTAGTAGTAAACGTATCATTACACTTAAACTCAAAAATATATGGGACATATTTTGCTAATTAAATACATATAAGTTTGTGTAGTATTTATATTTGAATAAAATGCTGTCAGCACATGCAACAACGACGAAGACGCCCTCATATACAATCAATTTCTTAATAATCTACGAACTAAACATTTAACTACTGACACGAACCTATTAATAAAATACGGCTAAAGTTACTATTTGATTACAAGCTGCAAATCTTCTTTCTATTGTGTCGTGAAATCAACTCGTAGATATATATGTTGCATATTCAGCACATATACATAGGTATATAATCATATCTTACACTAAATCTTTGCAATATTTCAATACATAATATTCAGTTCGTATCTATTCTATAATTTAACTAAGTATTGCTAGTTGGAAAAAAAAACTTTAAAGTCAGGCTCGTGATAAATGTAGAAAAAACGATAATATTACTAGAGCTAGACTAGATTAAAGCTATATGTGAAACAACCATTTTCCTGATGACCGAAATCTAACCAGCCCTTATTAGTTCCGTAATTCATTAGGTAATAAAGCAGCAACAATAAAAACAAACATCCGCGATATTTGTCACGTATTAATACTCTAGTGTTGTTGCGGAGTCATCCGCGTTATTCAACCGCCCGTTATCTTTCTCACATGCTACAGCTTGCGATGCGTTCATACGTTGAGCGCAGCGATTCTAGGGAAGCCTTGCTACTCGGTCCCTATGCTAAGGAGGCAACGTCAGCCTCAGTGGTGTGTCGTATTGTGACAGTGGCACACGGCTCTAAAATGGCAGATATTCCAAGTAAAAATGACATTACAGCCGTTTTCAAGAGACTTCGATCCATCCCAGCCAACAAGGTGAGTCCTTAGAGGAGTCTACCACTCGTCAATTAAAAGAGTTCAGCCATTTTCTGACGACCAGTGTAATCCCAATAGCCAGTTTGGTGAGTGCGAAAACCATTGCAAATATCCTACAGTGGAGAGCGAGCACAGCTGTTCGAATTCGCTACTACATCACTTCCTTCATCCGGTCGTCAAGTAAGTGCGAAATTGTTTTCGTAATTCAATACTCTGATGCATTCATGCTATCGTACAAGTACGTCACGTATGAGGATAACGGCTGGCTACTTCGGATCCGCTGTTATTACGCCTGCCTAGTTGACGTCTGCTGATGGATACCGTTTACGGGAAACATCAAATAGCGATTTCAAAACTGGTGCTGTGTTCAGCGGAACAGCACGCAGCGTTTATGTTGTAATACTGAGCTCACGAGTAAATGCAATTCAGGTTGCACTCAATTAATCGTAAGGTTTGTTCTATACGCAATTTGAATACTAGCATGAACTAATATATAATGAAGAAATGTAAATTTCGAACAATGCTTTTCTTTCTACAAGAAAATATCTAAGAACAACTGCAATGCGCTCCTCGTGTACATATCGCTTACACTGCCTGAGAAGGCCTTCGACAAACAGACGGTAGCCAGCCAAAACCTTGTCCACGATCATTACGGAAGTGGTCATCGAGCAGAACAGACCGTCACAGGCAAAAACGTTCCATTTTGTCGCCATGAACCGTAAATTCCGTATATTGCTGGCTCATTGTCTAATCTCTGTCTGTCGGGCTTCAGATGGTCGCCTTCTAACACGTTGCCATTCGACTCTTGTCAGAGTTTTCATTCAAGGGGTATACATGCTTATATTAGAAATCATATGATTAAAGTTACCTGAAGCAACAGCAATCAATATGCTACTCTGCAGTTTATATTAATAGCGTTTCATTTGACAGATAAGCGACTATGTATCTGCCTGAATGCCTAATGCTGCACCGTAGCCAAGGTGCGCCTATCAATCTGTTATGGGTCAAGCGATCTAATGATGAACCACTGAGAATCACGACGGGTCTACTTGGACTTTACGTTGCTAGTACTTTAACGCACGTTTACCGACCATCGTCATTTAAAACGCAAAACTCGTGCACTAAAAATATATACAAGCGTAAATCACAAAGCGAACGCTATCGTAAGCGGGATTTCATCCTAATGATTTTGTTGGGCAGATATACATACACCATGTTTCTTACATATCCACAGCCGAACTTTTCGTTGAAATTTGTGATTCCATTACATTTGTCGGAACAGAAGGGATAAGAGCAATAAATAGGCGAGTGTTATCCACACAAATGGTCTTATACTTCAAGGCAATACGTAAAAATTGATGTTGGTATGTTCCTACGAATAACCTATATATCCACCATTATATATATATATACATAAACACTGCTGTCGACATACCTGCCACGGAGACTGATACTCGAATAGGTCGACACTGCTAATTTTCGTTATCGTTATTTTAGTTACTGTTGAGCATGACAGCTCAGTTATACATTACCTATCATATGTTCTTATTTAATGAAGATTTGGATTTTTATGTAATGATCCGGTACATGTCAATCGATCAAACTGAAGTTTTTTAAGTGTATTAGCTGAGGCCATTGTCTCCATTATCGGCAATGTAGTGTTTTACATTTAATTTTATATATATATATATATATATATATATATATATATATATATATATATATATATCAATAAATATTCACAATAAATTTTAACGCCTGTTACAGCAATGTTTCGACTGTGGTGCAAAAAATCCAACATGGAGTTCAGTAACGTACGGAGTTTTCATTTGCATCGATTGTTCAGCAGTTCATCGAGGCCTTGGAACTCACATTAGTTTTGTAAGGTCGACCAATCTTGACACCACTTACACATGGGTAAGTTCGTAGATTCTCTGCATCTTTGCTATAACTACCATTGACAGACACTTAATTGTAACTTTCTTGTTTTGTGACATTGAATTTTCGCAGAGAGGCCGATCAAGTGACGAACAAGATACACTTTCACTCCAAAATATCTGAAGCATTTTTCAAGTCAGGTTCATCTATATAATATTGAGGTTATGTATCAAACATTAATAACGTTTAGTAAATTTTCTTGAAAATTATCTTGAATAACTTTTTTTTAGATTCAGCTACGGTCGATGCAGTTGGGAGGAAATGCAAATGCAACATCTTTCTTTTCTTCGCACGGCGTCACCGTTCTACAGGTGGATGCCAAACAGAAATACAATAGCAGAGCTGCGTCTTTATACCGGGAGAAACTGCATTCAATGGTTAGCAATGAGCTTATATACACATTGCACACGCACGCACACACAAATTTATTGTACTCAATCCGACTACCTAACTTGAAATGATCTATGCTACAATATGATTACGATTATCAAACAACTACAATTCGCTGCTGTATCTGCAGAGCGGTTTCTAAGGCTTAAGGTAACAATTTTTTATCTGTTACTGTAACTTGGTAGGCTGCAGCGGCAATGAAGACTCACAGCACAAAACTTTGGATCGATGACACACACCACGGGGATCATCCCAGCGGCGAGGGAGCAAAGCAGGATTCCCTTGACTTTTTTGAGGAGCATACTAGCAAATCTGCTCAGCAGCAGGTAAGTGAATTCCAGAAACTCCACGAATGGGGGACGACATATTGTACGGCTTAGTAGCATTCGCTTACCATGACTGTTCATATCTTTCAGTTGGAAGAGGCTTCTCAGGAGTGTTTGTTCAACAGTAATACCAGTGGCAGCATTAACAACAATCTTTTCGCCAACCAACAACAGAGCAATAATAACAACAACATAATCGAATCGAACAGCGGAAAGAACACTGGGCAAAGTGGAGTCGCAGGTGACGCCTCGGGTTTAGCGGAAGGGCGGAAATCTGTCAACACTATTGGCGCTAAGAAAATTGGCGGACTGGGGGCCAAACGAGTTGGTTGTGGGGTGAGTAGAATCATTAGTAGACACACACATATAAGCGCATTAATAACACTTCCATAGCATTTGCTTCTGTGCAGTGCTACCCTGCATAGGTTTTATAGTTTAGAAACTATTAACTTTGCTCCTTATCATCGTTAGAAGGCATATTCACTACTTTGTTGTTCGACCTGTCGCATTCTTTCCTTCGTGTTACCATTGTTATTGAATATCATGTGGATAACAACAATGGAAGAGAGAATGCCACCTAAATTGAGTGGCTCACAGTGATGTACTGCCTACAAACTACGACAGACAACGAAGTGTACAACGGCTACATGCAGTGAACTCGGTTTTGTTTCGGTGGTCTGTGATTTTGCAGAGTCCAAAATTTGTTTTTGTGTGAATAGAGTGTCACCGGGGAAACGAAAGAATTGTTCGCCCAAAATCGTCAAATGATCGGTCAACAAAGCGAAAACCGATCACTTTAATTATTTGCAATTTTTCAATCCAGCCGTGAGATAGGCATGGTATTTGATTCAGTTTTTCCACATAATTTATGTGCCTTTTTTCTTTTTATATAAGTTAATGTATACTGGTGTGAGCTGTATATGGGTGAGTTTTTGACGGCAACTGAAAGATTTTTGTTTTCGGATTTAACGATTGAAATTCGATAGCTCGGAGCTCGAAAAGCGGGAGGCCTTGGAGCCCAGAAAGCTGCAGTAAATTTCGATGAATTGGAAAAGGAGGCCAAGCAGCGCGAAGAGATGCGAGCACATATGGAGGCTCAGCAAAAGCTTAGCATCGTCCAAAAAAAGGAGCAGCAGGAAAAACAACTGTGAGTTTTGTTCTTTGGCATTAAAATAAATGAAAATCTAGATAGTCTTCATGTTTAACTTATGACGATATGTAGTGTGGAAGCTATGCTATTTTTTAAAGTCGTTATGGAGCCATCTATGTATCGGAGTCATACCTATGATTTTTGGTAAGTAATATGTGCTAATTGTTTGTTACATGTTTGTTACATGACAATTGTAGGCCAATTGCGTATCTACGAGACCTCACCGCATCAGTTTAGCTTGAGAAAGCAGCCTTTGTTATTCTTCAATTTCGAAGTTGACTAATGGAGCCGTTTTCTTACTGATGAGGCTCATACAACACATAACTAGACATTCAAAGTCTTTCACGGTAGAGCCCTTACCGCAATGCGTGACGTATACATTCACAATGATTTTGATTAGATAATTGAACAAATCTTCAATATACTGCCCTTAGTTACAGAGTTGTGATTAACTGTTTTAAACGAATGCGTTGTTCATCACTGTCCGATTTTACTTGGTTCGCTCATAAAAGAGCTCAAGATTTATCGTATTCGCGATCCTGTATGACCATGTAACAAATCCCTGTGCTGGGTATAATGATCTTAATATCTAACAAGACTTGCGGATAATGCACTTACGGTTATCTGAACTTCGTCGAGAGGCAAATAGCCAAATGGCTCCGACCACAATGCCGACGATAGCAATAACCACTAGCACGATGATGGCGATCTTTTTGACGCGTAAAGAACCACTCATGTCGTCATTTCTTGCAGCGGTTTCCTTCGGCAGAGCCTTTTCAGCAGCGAGCCTTGAACATGAACAACTGAACCTGGAACACTTGGAACACCTAAAAAACGAAAGGAATTTAAGGTCTGATCATTTAGGTTAGTCAAACGATCAGCTGACTTCGGAATTCACAATTGTTAAGTTATATCAAGTTATTCGATTTTCCCCTTCCCCTTCGCTTCGATACTGACATAATGAACTGCACAGTTGTGGTTTCTCGTTCAAGTTGTGTCGCCTCGTCCGATTCCGAGACGGTTTCCGTCGCTTCTTTCGGTGGTATGGCTTTGTATGGTGCGGCTGGGCTATTTGCCTCCATTATTCGTGTTCAGTTTTCGTGGAGAGTGCGTAGTCGCGTACTCGAGGGAACCTCGTTGTTTTTCAAATCAACTCATTCTCGTACGCTAGCAGAGTTGCAAATACTGCCGTATAGCTACGGTTATTTGTTGACGACGACAATGCGTCTCAAATCTATTTATATATAAATACTATATATAAATGTACCAACGTACATAGTGTAGACACGTTGCTTCATTATTTAGTACCGCCAACAAAACAAGGTTCTGAGGCGTTCCGAAACAAAACCCAGCCAATTTTGGCTGTATTCAACCGTGGTAACCGACAGGGACTGACAATATGCAGATACTATTGGCATGCAGTATGCTGCTGTTTATGGTGCAAGCTTAGGTGGTTCAGTTAAGGTTGTGGTGCCCAAAAAATCTGGAGATGTTGCCGTGTTGTATATTAATATCTATTATATTGTGCCAATAAGCTGTGAAACTCGGGCGCAAGCAAACGCTTCAGTTTCATGAAATATTTTCCTTTTTTTCTTGGTGGTGACTGGGAACTCAATGGGAAAACATTTCTGCTGTGCGGTTTTGTGGTCAACTTTCGCCCCCCTGTTTGTGTAGTCTAGTAGTTCGGTTAGGTGAATACTGTTTAACCATCTTGATATGCGTGTTCCTGCCCGTCTGAATGCGTGATGCCACTTTTAGATAGCACTAGAATTTGGGAGACCAGCCGGTGAAGGGTCTTATAGAACTGAATTTGTGTATACAGTGATTGTTTCGGCTATATTCTTCGCTTTTTTGAACTTAGCCTATTCGCCTATGTATTGAAATCCCTGAAACTATTTGATCTTTGTGTCACTAGTTGACTTTTAAAGCTCAAAAAGTATTAGATTCTACCGAATGGACCACAGATAGTGGGGACTGCTCTTAAATCATGTTATCATTGTAAACATATCTACAGTGTGTAACTTCATTTGTTAGCTGTTAATATTCGTAAGTACTCTGCACTTTTAGATTAGCTAAACAACTGTGGAACTAAGTGCTCGAGGGATATCATATTCAGGCTAAAGTCGGTTCTATTAGAGACCCCCGATTGGCCTTAGATAAATTTTTTTTGCAACTTGCTAAGGCGATTGGCTGGTTATTAAATGTACAGGCGTAGTCCTATGTCAAAATTACACAGTCTGGTTTTACGTATGATGAAGTGTGTAAAAGAGCCAATGTAATAAGTCGAAAACTATTTTATTTGTATGGTGTACATTCTGCAATTATTTTTTCGGTTTGCACACCGTGGACACTGGTGGCAGATGGCATTACCGTACAGGGTAAATTTTTTTAGTGGTTAATATAATACTGTGCAGGGCTTTTGCCTCCAAAGAAGCAATCACATGTCGCCCTATTCTTGATAACTGTCGATGTTGAATATATGAATTCGGAAGCCGAGTGGCAGGCGCAACATTTGGTGGCACTTCTAGCTTCTTGCACGTTGTAACGACAACACGAACGTTTTTTCGTGTTATGACTACCCTAGAACTGGAAAGCCAATTTTATTGGCAGGATGAGGTACTGCATATCAACCGAATAATGCAAGCGTTGACCTAAATGAGAGCGTTCATAGATCTATTTGTGGGTAAAATTCTGGTTGAACCAAAGCTCCCGTCTACGGATATTTTTAGGTTCGAATTTTAAACAAAATTTAAGCACATATGACATAAGACAGCAACAGGGAGTTAAAAGAACGATACATTGCCTAAATAATAATATTAAATGCACAACTTGTATATAGCTAAAGATCGCCAAAATGGTTTCTTTTTTCAAGAACCAATTCCTCAACGGTTTTGTCCATATTCTTTCAAATATAGTTGCTCTTTACATTAATTTGAAGCTTTTAAAAGTTGACTGAAATTTCGTATTTTAGTCTGTCGATTGGTCGTGATTAGTAGTAAAAAATTTATATACGAATACTGTAATACATTTGAGACGAACAAAATACATGCAGAAGCTATATGCCAGCCCACCCGCTTTAGCTAACAGCTCTTACATATGCCTTGTGGTACCTTGATATAATCAGCAGGGATGCTGACGTGTTTGTATATTAATGACCTTCATTAAAATTTAGCTGCGGTTAATGATAAAAGCGATCGCATAATGTGAACTAATGCGCAAGGAAATGTATGTAGGTGTAAGTCCTCAGGTCTAAATTCGTTTTAGAAAAATGCTTCACTTAATTTACTAAACAAGGCTATTATTATTGCCAGGATCAAGTTCTTTTATAAGGCGGTCGACCAATCGACCAATTGTAGTTTTTTTTACATCTCTATTGCTCATTGGATCAGCTCCAACCTTGAGCACTTCGGTAGGTGTTTTCTCGTAATGGTAGAAAATATACTTATATTTTCACGTATTACTGTATGTCGTGCCACAATGATTATATTTTCACGTATTACTGTATGTCGTGCCACAATGATTTCTGCCAACAGGCCTTGTAGAAGTTCTCTTTACTCTATCATTTGACTGTAAGGTCGATTAAAAGACGTGCCTTATGACGTAATGTGCCTGGAATAAAATTCCTTAGGGTCTGCAAACGTCAAGCAGGCGGCTGGGCGCTAGCAGTTTCTAGTAGATATTTGCAAGGTACACAAAACAACTACTTGGGCTTCTTGCGGATATCACTTTTTTTCCTTCATGATTTCGGTTTGCATGTACCCGAAGATTTCTTGTGCTCATATAGCTTAACACTCTAATAAGGCGAAGTTCATTATAAAGTCTTTTATTTAGTTGCAGACGTCAAGCTGGCTGGTTAGATGGCGACCACTGATGCATAGCAAGCAATACAAGTAACTGCTGATGTATGCTATAGACGAGAGCAGGTTTTTCTTAACGGAACGAGGTTGCATAACTTTGTTGTAGATGTAGATGTAGACCCTCTAGATAGTGATCAATGCCTTCACACTTACGTGTTTTCGATGGTTAGCCAAATTTTCCATGCCGGTAGCTACAGAGAAAATACTTTCTGATGACAGATTGTATTTTGTTGCCGCATCGTTCCCTAAAATATGCTCGTAGAGCTGAACAGCAGAAGTGCTTATAAACTTTAATATAATATAGCTGTTGCTGCTGGGATCGTTCCACCGCAAATTTATTTACTACGAGAATACTAAGTCACAGCTGAAAATCGCTCTAATCACTGTCAAGTGGTCGGCAATAGCTGCTCTCTATCTATTGCTTACTAGCTTCAGCAAGTGGAGCGCAGCCTCTCAGCTTCTCTCCCGCGTTTGTCATCTCCCACTCATTGTGTGTGAGGATCGGGTACAGTAGCGCCAATCTAGCTTGCGCCTACATGATATCCCTACGAAGAAACGAACAACGGCGGTTGAGTAGGCCGAATAAACCACTACTATTGAAGATGCCAATTGCTCCGTTTGGCTGGTATTGATAACGTTCCACTTTAACTAGCTAGCTATACCTCTATCTCTGTAGTTGTAGGCTCCACGCAACGATAACCCTCCAGTGGTGGAACGGATGACAGGCTTTATAGCCAGTGAGCAGACGGTTAATTCTATCATGTGTGCACACTCATGCTGAAGTTGTCATTTCACAATCTTCTTTAAATGATGGACTCTTCAACGATCCTACAAGCCCGTCTTTTAGCTGTTATAGAGGCTTTATGGAGCAAGTCGAAGATCATCCAGACAGCCTTCTTAACTATCACAGTGAGAAAATCGACTTAAATATTCCAGAAATATCTATAGACTTTATACTGGGAGAGCGTTTCGCGCACAGTTTAAATATAGATCAACTTAGTACAATGAATTATCAAAAGGACTCTAACAGAGGCGAAGAGATTATAGTAAGAACAATCTTTTAGAGGTACGATACGCAAGGACATCTATAGACTAAGTTTTGAAAGCTTTTTATATAGGCTGAAGAAAATTTACCATCAATGTAATTTTTTGTATGTGAAGAGCCTGTTGATGTTGAAGATGTTGTTGATGTTGCTGATGCTACTGTTAGGTGGCGCTACAGACGATGGGATATACTGCTGTCTCAATGATCGGCGATATCGGCAAAGCCAGTAGAGGTGCATTGGACAATGCTGCACTGCTCGCTTTGGTGGTTTTGTGTTGCCTACATTGGCGACTTGTATTTGATCTAGTAGACCACGCGTTGAATCAACGCGGAGACTAATGCCACAGCACCCATGGCCAGCAGCGTGATGGCACGGTGGCAATTTTGGATTTACAACTCTGCATTAGTGTAGTGTTAGCAACCGCGGCAGCGGAATCGTAAGCTATATAATATAGACTGCCAAATAGCGAAACAACGCAATGATTGGATCCTGTGTGTGAGTCTCACTGCTGCTCTTATTGCGGTCCTTTTTTCTCACTGATATGTCCGCATAGATGCAGGTGTCGTACTGCCCATAAAGGCATTGGTGGCAGACTCATACGATTTTGCGCGCTTTGCGTAAGCTTTCTGCTTTCACACTGTATAAGACTTATAACATCAAGGAACGCAGCACAGATAACCTCTAGGGTGTGCCCGGGACTACAAGCGGGCCTGTAGATGAGCTATGTATAGATAGATAGGCTAAAGTAAGTGAACGATGTTGTTGACTCATTATTGGCACGAGGATCAAATGACAATGGTAATGATGCTAATGGTGGCGGGGGGAATGGGTTCAAAAGAATATGCTATTACCGTGAAAATGAGGTTTGTGTGTGCCGGGTGTTGTCATTTTTTCCTGGACAGCATTTTCCGATAATAGTGTAGCGGAGTATGTGCTTGTTGTGCAGTAGAACAGCAGCATATTGAACAACCGCAACATTTGAGACTATAGCGGCAATAAAAATGAGAAGGGCAACGCGGTCGGTAGTTCATTCGTACCGTTAGAGAGATGGTAAACTTTATCCAAAACTCTGTTGGCTGCAATGTGATGGATAAAGTTGTACTCAATAAAGGCCATATAATTCTCAACGCTGCAGAGAATTAAATGAAATGGAGTATTGGTAAATTTATGCAAACGCTTTGTACTTGCTTTTATTGGCTATTGTAACCAATACTTCCGTCATATCCGTAGGTATATAACCGTAGAAGAGTAGATGATTTTGCTCATTCGAAAATTGCCCGATAGTCCCTGAGCCTCAATGCGGTTAAGCCGAGCTGAATGTTGAAGGACCAAATTTATAGTTAGCTTTGACTAAAAACCCGAAATTCTTACTGATATTTAGCTCGTTACAAGTCCATTTATTTGTGGAGTAAGGCAACATTGTATGCTAGTGCTAAAGAGATACGAAAACATGTGGTTAGCTATTTTATAGGCTAATTATGAATTAATCTTACTGTTAATGTATTTTACTTTCGGTCATATGGAAGCCAAATTCCACTTACCAAAATAAAAGACATTGCCCTATAACTTAGTACTAGCGGTTGAATTAATAAAATTTTTTGTCGGCAATACTATTTTTCATGGAAACTGGCGGTCTGTATCGAATTAAATATTTAATGTTTTACGTGTGCTACTATTTTTCCGTACATATTTACATAATTTTACTTGTAAATCTTCAGGACGTTATTACGTAAGACTCAAGAGTTAACGTATGAATATGTATTTTACGTATACATGCGCTTAGTGCGGGTTCACGAAGGCTTCCACCATTTCGTAAAAGCAATGCAATAAGCAAATAGCTTTACCAGTAGATAGTTCGTTTTTATACCAAAAGAGGACCCGTCTGTTTTTTGTCACGAACCACACCTTTGGAGAAACGACAGGTCGCTCTTTTTCTGTATAGTCAAGACACGTTGATCACTTTCGATAGATGAAATGCAATTACTATCTTTCACTTCATGAACTTAGCAGGCTAACATTATAGGCGACTCGCCTCATAGCCCCTCTAAATATAGGATCATTAAGTAAGCTGTAAAGATGATCGAAAAATGAAAATTTCCAATTAACAACCATGTAACAAAATGTACTACATTGAATCTATTTAGCAGTTGAGTACGGAGGATCAAGCAGTTAAACAGAGATTCACTGCTGCGCTAGATGTCTAGAGATGAGTTTGAAACTTGAGAAACAGATTTTAATGCTAATATATGTATATATATTAGTAGCTATTGTATACACGTTCTTTTAAGCAGATCCATATATATAAATTTTTTTTCAATGGAGTAATGATTAATCATATATATATATATATATATATATATATATATATATATATATATA